GTTGTTTTAGGCTGGGTTCCCTGGTAACAAACTCTGGAGGGAGGCTTGAGTGTAGGTTTATTGGGGTGCCCTTGGGAATATCACCCGTAGAGGAGGGAGGACAGCCAGGTGGCTGGGCAAAGAAGTTGAACTGCGGTGCAGGTTCCACAGAGGCCGCAGCCTGTCCCAAGGGAAGCTCTGGGACCAAGACGGTCTTGCAGAGTTGTCCCAAATTGAGGCAAGGGGGCGGGGCCTTTATACCCAGTATCAGCTAGTCCACTGGAGAGCTCCTTCCAGGAGAGGGCACTTGGGCGAGGCAGCTCCGCTGGCGGAGGGCAATTCCCCAAGAAGCTGACAGCTGAGGGCTACCAATGACAGCCTTCACTATAGCTGGGACTTCCCCCTTCCTCCCCCACGCCTCCCCCAGCCTCTGAGCAGCACAGAAGGAGAAGTAGTATTCTCGTCCCTAAGGCAAGAATGGCTAAGCCATTTATGGATTTCAGTACCATTTGTTTCTTCTGTCATTGGCCGCTCTTCACCCCCACATCTGTGAATCATTCATTCAGTGACTATTTGTGGAGTGCGGTTGCTCGATCGGGCTCCTTGCACACTGGGTGGCTTGTTCTGTCTCTGGGGGAGAAGGAGAAGTTAATGCATAGTTAGACTGTGGTGGCATGGAGCACAGGAGACAGAGTGATTTCACTTTGCTTGAGGGGTAGATTCTGGGAGTCAGTCAAGCTGCATCTTGAAGGGTGATTAAGAATTTTCCTGAAAGATGGGATGTGGAAAGGTACCAAGCAGAAGGAACAGCATGTGCAGAAGCCACAGAAGTAGGGTTCTGAAGGTAGGACCCGGCTGCAGGGGTAGGAGTGGAGACAGACTCCTTGCACCCCCAGCTCAGGCCTGGGAGCCACCTCTGACCAGTGGTGCTGCCGTGTGGACCTAGTGGGACAATGCTTATGAAAATGCTGTGTAAGCTGCAAATGTAGGGGTAGTATTGGTAAAGGAGGGGTGAGTTCAAGTCATAGAGAGGACAGTCCCAGGCCTCAGAAAAGGTAATGGTCTAGTTAGGGAGGAAGAACACAGAACTGGTATGTGCCACGCACTCGTCAGGAGCCCACGGCTACAGTGATGGGCCCTAGCACCACAGGTGCACTGGATGATCCTCTTCCCTCCTGCACATTCAAGGACTTGTCTTCCAGAATTGCTCTTTTTCTCCTGCACTGCCAGTTTCTTCCTCTCTATAGGCTCATTTTCATCGGCTACAAACATGCTGTAACATTTCCTATTTTTAAAAGCAAAACCAAAAAAAAAAAAAAAAACCCTCTTCCTGGGACCACGTCACTGTCCACAAGCCAAGCCCCACTGCCATGCTCTCCTTCACATTCCAGCTCCCGAAGGAGTTGTCAGCCCCACTGCCTCACCCTCTCTGTTCTCCTGTACACAGACCAGTCCTGTCGTCAGCTTCCCCCGCTCGAATGTGGACTCTGTGGTAGAGGTGTCTGTCTTGTTCACTGACAAATCTGCATTACCCAGACAGTGCCTGGCATGTAGTAGGTGCTCAATAAATATTGAACTAATGAACGATTTCTCTTTAGCACCCACTCTGATCAGGTTTCTGTGTCCACAGCTCTTCTGAAATGGCTCTTGTCGAGGTTTCTGCTGACCTCCTTAATGCTCAAATGGTCGGGTCTTAGCTGTCACCTGCCTTGATCTGTCAGTGGCATCTGACACCGTTGACCAGTCCTGCCTTCCTGAAAACTGGCCTCCTGTGTTCCCCCAAAACCCAGACTCTTCTGCGTCCCCTGTCACCTCATTGCAGACTCCTTCTAAGTCTCTTTCCTTAGATCTCCCACTTCACGACCTATAAACCTTGGTGAGCTCCACGGCCCCCACCTTTTTCTTTATTCTCAGTCCTGAGGTTTTCAGGGCCATCCCTTCAGGATGGTCTTCAAATTTCTCCCTCCAGCCTCGACTTTATCCCTTGTTTCCAGAATGTAAGCTTCGTGAGAGCAGTTGGTCTTACTCGAGACCGTATTCCCAGAGCACAGAACGGTGCTGACGCCGAGCTGGCCCTGCAGTGAGGGCTGCGGAAAAGGCGGCGCGCGTGAACATACGGGCCGTCCTCTCGGTCACTCTTCATCGATAGCCCTGAAACACCCAACAGGTGCGAAACAGAATGGAGTTCTTTCAAGTGCGACCGCAGGCACTCTTACTGACTGACAACGTTTTGAATAAAGGGGCTGGCTCTGTTGAAAATAACTTCAATGGCACAAGTCTGTCATCTGTGCAGAGTGAAATAATTGGAAATGAAATTCAGGGAATTCTGTTTTATAATTATAAAAGGAGAAAACAAACCTCGGTCTGAATGTTGCCTCAATCAGGCTACATATCTCACTTTTGCCTACCTGATTATGCACTCTCTGATATGGAGGGTAGACTCTGTATTTTATGGAGGAACAGCTGGAAAATAAATAAATGCAGAAGAACAGCAGGAGGGAGGGCGGGAGAGACAGCGACCATTGTGAGCTGACTTTGCAAGCAAGTAGCCTGCATTAATTGGCCAGAAGCTATAAAGGCCCCTGGAATTTCTGTTAAAAGGGAGTGGGTTAGTATTTGTTGAAGGCCCTTTGCTATGAAGATATCACATATTTTTACATTTAATCGTTACCGAAGCCCTTTAGGTGGAAGCCCATTACCAGGTTTATTTTACACAGGAGGAACCTGAGCTGAGAGAGGTTAAGCTACTTACTCAGAGTCACAAGTGTTGAGTAGTGGACCTGAGAATCAAATGGTCTTAACTCTGTCTTAAGTCTAGGTCCACGTTCTTTCCTTTAACCTGGAGCCAGAAGCCACTGTCAAGTACCGCTAACACCTTAAAGCAACCAGGTATCAACACAATGGTTTTTTAAAAAATTATTTATTCAATTTGTTGGCCCTGGCCTGTGTGGCTCAGTTGATTGGAGTGTCATCCTGTAGGCCAGAAGTTCGCAGGTTCGATTCCTGGTCAGGGCATGTGCGAGAGAGCAACAGATTGATGTTTCTTTCTCACATCAATGTCTCTCCATCTCTCCCTTTCCTTCTCCTTCTCCCTTTTCCTCTCTCTCTAAAAGCAATGAAACAAATGTCCTCGAGTGAGGATAAAAATAAATACATTACTTATTGATTTTACAGAGAGGGCAAGGGAGAGAGAAAGAGATGTTGTTCCACTTATTTATGCATTTATCAGTTAATTCTTATATGTGCACTGACGAGGCATTTAACCTGCAACTTTGCTGTACTGGGACAAGGCTCTAACCAACTGAGGTAGGCGGCCAGGGCAACACAGTGCTTTTGTATTTAACAAGTTGAAATGGCTGAAATCTAACACAAATACTTGTTGAGTACCTACTGTGTGCCAGGCACCATGCTCATAGCTGGCGATAAAGAAGTGAACGAGACAGAAAACGCCTTTGCCCTCATGGAACTTACATGTATGTGCCAATGACTGATCAAACACAAATGAGTAAATGAAGATCATTATTATCGATTATAATGAAGGAAATTAACACAATAATGAGATAAGCGGTCATGAGAAAGGGTGAGGCATGGGCTGCTACTTTGAGAGGTCCAAAAAGAAAGACCTCTTTTGATGAGATGACCACTAAGCTGAGGCCTGGAGGATGGGAAGAAGGCAGCCAAGCAGAGAGCGTGGGGAAGAGCATTTCAGGCAGAGGGAACTGCAAGGGCAAAGGCTTTGAGTGGGGAACATATGTGAAGCAATAGAAGAAAACGAGAGTCTGTCGAGGGTGGAGGATTAGGTCAGAGAGGAAGATGGGCTAAATTCTATAGGGTAAAGCACTTCGATTTTATTATAAGGACAGTCAGGGAAGAATTTTGGGGAGGGAAATTATGTCATTCACATTTTAAAAGCCTTCTCTTACTGGAGAATAGACTGGAGGGGGAAGGAGGGGAAGAAAGGCAAATGGGTTAGGAGGCAGTTTCTGAAGTCCAAGGAGAGCTGATGGTGGTGGGGACTAGCACGGTGGCAAAAGAGATGGAGAGAAACGGTCAGACTTTGCGGTGTGTTTAGAAGGCAGAGCCAACCGGCAACCGAAATATGTATAAAGTTGCGCTTTCCAATACAATAACTATGGCCTCTGTGGTTATTTAAGTTCATATTAAATAAGATTTAAAATTCCATTTCTCACATCACACTAGCCACTTTTCAAGTGCTTGGTAATCACATGGGTTAGTGGCTTCTGTGTCAGACATTTCCATCATCACAAAATTCTGCTGGACGGTGTTGATAGGATGTGTAGGACAGTGGACAACACATTTTAGGAGTTAAGATGATAGGTATTCAGCATATCTGTTATGTCACTAGGTCTTCTTTCCCCTATATTTGTCTGTTTCCCTCTTCATTAATGCCAGCATTGCCCTTGCTTCATTAAGGCAGAACCATGCACTGCTGGGGTTCTCATACACCGCCTCTTTGCTCTTCAGGTGTGGGAATTTGTTCAACAGATGTTTGAGGGGCCACTCCTGCTTGGACAGAAGTGGTGGACAGGGGTCCTAAGAGAACATGATCAGGAAAGATCGCCTCCTGGGGAAACGGACCTGGGCAATGAGGGACAACCATGTGCTTGAGGGTTCCAAAACCCCAGGCGGAGAAGTGATTCCAGTGGGGTTGGAGGTAGGGGCTGAGAAAGAGGGGGGTTTGGACTTGGCCTGGGCTCTGTCATCAAGACAGCTGGCCAGACAGAACTTCGGCTGGAAACATACTCCCCAGAGTCAGTTCTCCATGTCACGGTTTACAAAGCACCCTCGTCTTAGGAGACTGGGGGAGGTGCAGGGCCTGGCCAGAGCCCTCAGCTGGCTGACCTGGTTACAGCTGGGAGCCAGGCTTGGTGCTCGGTTCCTAAGACACCATATACTCCCCTTGGGGCTTACGCTTATCTCTGAAGGTGGGCAGCTCCTCGAGGAAGCGCCTTCCCTCCCTGATCACCTGGGGGCTGTGTTCTGAATGTAGGCCTACCAGGATGGAGGGGCATGCTGAAATGGAGATGCTGAGGACACTGAAGGGGCCGTCCACAGGGGAGGTCAGCGTGCACCTGGTGGCCAGAGACAGCCCAGGTTCCGGCCCTCACCTGCCCTCCACTGCCTTCATCATTCCAGGTGGGCCAAACCAGGGGTCTGGGGAGGAGGCGCATTCCCATATCTGCCAAAGCAGGTGTGGATCCTGGGGAGAGATGATACTTTTCACCTGCCAACACACATGCATGGCGGGATTGGGGCAGAGCCACCGGGCTCACCTGTGTCGTGTCTGTTCCTGTATCTGTTCACAGCCAGCTCTGCCACCCTTGGCCTGCCCAGCAGTTCTCTGGATGTGTCCTGCTTTCCGCGGGAGCCGATCCATGTGAGCGCCCCGCAACGAGTGTCAGGCAGCGTACCTGTCACTGCCACCGTTCTGCCGCAGTTAAGCGCGGGGCCGGGAGCCAGCTCCAGCGCCAGCACTGTGCGGCTTCTGGAGTGGACCGAGGCCGAGGCCCCACCTCCTGGGAGCGGCCTAAGGGTCAGTGTCTCTGGGGATTGGCGGGCCCAGGCAGCCGCAGCTGCGGGGTGGTGCCTGCAGGCTGGGAGGCGGGGCCTGAGGTGGAAAGTGGGGGATAGCTGGCGGAGACGCAGGACTCGGTGGGTGGGGTGTGGCTTTGAGTAAGGGATCTAGGGATGTGGCTTGGAGGCACTCTGAGCTCGAGACAGGAGGGGTCCTAGAGACCAGATTCGTGGAGAATGTCTGGGGGCGTGGCTTGGAGAAGGTTGCTCAGGGACGAAGCTTTAGGAGAGAGGCTAGCAGTGAGGCGCCCTGGGGCCGAGGCCTGCAGGAGTCTCAGGGCGTGGCTTAGGGGTGGGGCAACCAAAAGCGGTGTCCTGTGAGCTGCTGGGGGCGTGGCTTGAGTAAGACGGTGGGAGAGCTACAGTGCCGACTGGAGGTGGGTCGAGGGCCGGTACCGGAATCGCCATCCTGAGGTCCTATCGCGCTCCAGTTCCGGATAAGCGAGTACCCTCCACTGAACATGGTGGGAGCCGAGCAGCCCCCAAGCCCGGAACTGCGGCGGGAAGATGTGGCCGAGTACGAAGCTGGCGAGGCCCCGGCGGGAGGTGGCGATGCGGGCACTCTACAGCCGGGTAGGAGCCCTAGGCCCGGGGCTGGGCCCCTGCGCGGGTGGAGCTCCCTAAGGAGCCAAGGTCCGGCCTGAGGCCCGGGTGCCTGCAGGTGCGCCCAGGGGTTAGTCCTAAGATGCAGAAGCCTGGGAGGTGGGGTAGGACGGGGTGGGGGCTGCTCCGTAGGGGAGCCCGAGGAGGTGGGACCTAGGTGGAGGAAGGGCTTCGAGAAGCCTGGACTCCGAAGTGGGAGGAGCCTGGATGTGGCTAGGATGGGGTAGGTGGCCTGAGGCCCCTTTGGCCTCCACAGCGGACCTCCCCCAGGACCCTCCAGGAGATCCCTCTCAGGATCCCCCAAAGGATGATGGCCCCTGTCAGTGCCAGGTGTGTGAGCCTCAGCTAGGCTCCTGTCCAGATTCTGGTTCCTCCAGTGGTGGCTGTCCCCAGCTCTTCCAGGAGCGGTAAGGATCAGGGTGTACCTCTCTACTTGCTCTGCTTTGGGGCCCCAAAGCCCCATTTTTGTTCATGGCCTAGGAGAGGGCCTGGGTGGTGCCCGGTGGGTCGTCACTGGTTCTTTCCTTCAGCTGCCGCTCCCTCAGGTCAGTCATAGTGGAGAACTCCTCAGGCCAGAAGTCCTCCTGCACCAGCACCTCTGAGCTCCACAAACCCATGAAGAAGAGGAAGCACAGGGAATACCAGAGCCCATCAGAGGAGGAGTCGGAGGCAGACGCCATGGTAGGAAGAGGCCAGTGCCAGGGAAGGGGGAGGCTATTCCTCAATTCCCACTATCCTCTCCATCAGTCCAGGTCATGGGGCTGGGCCAGCGAAGACTCACTCATCTTTTAGGGTCTCATCCTGAGTCAGGTCCCGTACCTGGCTGGAGGCGGGTGAATAAACACTCTTCCTGCTTCTCTGGAGCTCCCATCTCAGTCCAGCCTCGGGGCTAAAACACACTCACATGGACCAGCACCCAAGACAGCGGTGTGGTCAGATGGAGAGCTCTGTCGCTGGAACCCAGGCACTAGGCCAGTGGCCTGGGAGCACAGGGCTCTATTTGCAGAGAAGCAGGAAAAGACAGGGCAAGAAGTTCCAGGGGGCCGGCACAATGAGCACAGGGCAAGTGTGTGCATCCTGTTTCCCCACCTGGGAACGAAGAGAACTGTAGTCGGGTTGTGTAGCTGGGGTGTGGCGGGTGGGTGGGGGGTGGCTACTCATGTGAGTCTGGACCCAGCTGGTGGGGGGTTGTCAGCTGGAGCTATTTTCCTGCTGGTGACCTACGAGAAATTTCACCTGTTTGGGCCAAACACCATGTGGTCAGAGAGCCAGGCATGGGCCAGGAATAGCAACTGGGGCTTCTCCCACACCCATGAGGACAAGAAGCTGGAGCCAGGCTTGCCTTCCACAGGAGAAGCGAGAAGGAAAGGCTCCAGAGGGACAGCCCCCTGCTGGCACCCCAGAGAGTGAGGAGTGGAGCGGCAGCCAGCCTGGTATGATGACCGGCGTGTTTATATATCCCTGTGATATGTGTTTACACACTTGGATGTGTGAGGCTGGGAGTGTAGGTCACCACTGAGATGATGTGTTATGCACATATATGTGAGCATGAGTTAGTGCATGTGTGAGAAAAACAATGTTTATACCCCAGCTGGTGTGGCTTAGTAGACTGAGCGCCAGCCTGCGGACTGAAAAGCTGCTGGTTCGATTCCCAGTCAGGGCACATGCCTGGGTTGTGGGCCAGATCCCTAATTGGAGGTGTGAGAAAGGCAACTGATCACTGTTTCTCTCCCTCTCTTTCTTCCACCTTTTGCCTCTCTCTATAAATAAATAAATAAATACATACATACATACTTTAATAACAAAAAGTGGGCACAAGAGACCCTTTAAAAAAAGAGAGAAGCAATGTTTACGCTTTGTGTATTACTATATGTGTGTTCTTTATTGGGGGCTATACTGTGTGTTTGTTTATCCTCCACCTCCTTGGAAGTAGGCCTCACCGCCAGGCTCGGTAACCAAAGGCTTGAGTGTCACGTGGTGTTGTTTCCCTCTGGTGGTCTGAGCAAGTCTGTACTCGCCATTGGTCTGACCTTGCCGTTTTGGCCCCCATTCTGACCCTTTGGTTCTAAGAAAAATGGAACAAAGGTCATACGTAGTCGGCTCTGGCTCTCGGGCCTTCTCTCTATGACCATCTCCACTCTTCCCTGCCCACCCGTCTGTCTCCTGTCCACAGCGCCAGGGGAGAAGAAGGAAGGCTGGTCGTGGGAGTCCTACCTCGAGGAGCAGAAGGCCATCACCGCCCCCGTCAGCCTCTTCCAGGACGTGAGTGGGACAATTTCTGCCTAGGAAATGCTTGTATTCGCAGTCAAGGGACTCACCACGCAACGCAGGCCTTCTGGTGTTTTCTGTGTCTGACATCCCCTGAAGGACTGTCAGGATGGAAAGGGGAGGCACTGACTAGGGGCCCAGAGTAGAAAAGAGTCCACTATAAGGGATGTACAGGGTGGGAAGAAATTGGGAGGTGGAACCCAGGCGCACCCAGGACCGGGCCTGCAGACTTTGGAATTCTGGCGCCTGCTACTCAATTCTGTATGTTGATCTTTCAATGACTCGGGTGCGAGGGAACCCTTAAGTCCAGCCCTGACTCGGCCCACATTTTTCAAAGGACCTGAGGGCCATTCTGTCCCACTGCACTAAAGACCTCAAAGAAGTTGTCCCTTTGGTAGTCCCAGGCGGGTGGGGCCTAAAGGAGCTCCTTCACCCCAAGCCCGCTAGGCAAGGATAAGGCTGGATGGAAGCTGGGTCCTCTCCAATCTGTGCGTTGACAGTACCAGGCGGTCCCTCATAACAAGAATGGCTTCAGACTGGGCATGAAGCTGGAAGGCATCGACCCTCAGCACCCATCCATGTACTTCATCCTCACCGTGGCCGAGGTGAGCGGGGGCTCAACACCGTTCCAATGATGTCTCTCAGGATAAATGGATGGAGCCTGTCCGGGGCCCTGGGGGCCTGGACTCAGATAGGGAAGATGCTGACCTGCCCTCAGAAAGCACGTAGTCTAGTGGGGGATTAAGGCGGAACACACAGAAAGCTGAAAACTGAACAAAAAGCTCCAGACAAAGTGTGAGGGGTGGTGATGGTCCCAAACGGGTGGGTATGCAGTTCTTGGGGAGCTTGCGGATGTCCTGAGGGCAGGGGGTTGGTGTGAATCCAACCAGGTCCTTGTCCTCCAGGAGCTCACTGTTGTGTGGGAGTCAGCCAGGTGAACATACCAGCGACAGACCACAGGTGTGGGGCAGACGTGTGCAGAGAAGCACTGAGGGGGCAGGAGAAGCTTCGCACAGGAAGGGCCTCCTTTGCTGAGGCTGGAGAGACGACTGTGCATAACTAGGGTGTCCTGGGCAGTGGCAGCGGCAAAGTGAGCAAACGCTCTGGGATGTGGAATGCGGGCCACACGTTCCAGGAGCTGCCACTAGCTCAGGGAGGCCAGAGCAGAGTGTGCGAGTGGGGAGCAGTGAGAGAAGGGAGCAGAAGAAAAGGTCACCAGAGCCCTGAGCAGGCCTGAGCCCTGGGAAGTCCCCTTGGCGCTCTGGCTAGGTCTTGAAGGGCAGGAGGGTGCCACAGAACATGCCTGTCTTGAACCCGGAACTCAGGGCTCACGAGTACATGAGCTGTCCCTATTGCAGGATGGGAGAGTGTGGGACAAGGTTCAGGATGGGGAGAAACCTGGGAGTGAAGGGAGGTGGGGCGCCTGCCAGCATTAGAGCCCCCGAGACGACCAGGCCGGGCGGGGGAGGTGAGGGCAAGGGAGTGGGCGTTTGCTGGCATCAGAGTCCCTGTGGTCCCCCCTCGCGGAGCCAGGTCTGTGGCTACCGTCTCCGTCTGCACTTTGATGGGTACGCCGAGTGCCATGACTTCTGGGTCAATGCCAACTCCCCTGACATCCACCCTGCTGGCTGGTTCGAGAAGACTGGGCACAAGCTGCAGCCCCCCAAAGGTGAGGCCTAGCTGGGTTGGCATGGGAGGCAGCAGCCCTGCGACCCATCCCTTCTTCCCCCAGGTACCCCTGCCTTTTCCCCCTTGCACAGCCAGCCTGTCCTCGCCACCTCCTGCTATGTCTTGGCCCCAAGGCTTCTGCTCTGCCCTCGCCCTCTGAGAGTCCACCTGGGCTGTGTCCTGCTTCAGCAGGGGGTCCCCAGTCAGGCTCTCATGAGGGTTGTGGGGTCCTCAGGCCTGCCCAATTCTGCTGCTTTAGTGTGGGGTGCCCTCGCTGCAGCCCAGCCTCTGCACGGCGCTCTGTTCGTCCCCCCCCCTCGAGGGGCCTAGGTTACAAGGAGGAGGAGTTCAGCTGGAGTCAGTACCTGCGCGGCACAAGAGCTCAGGCTGCCCCCAAGCACCTGTTTGTGAGCCAGAGCCACGTGAGTGCCCCTCAGCCAGAGTGGACACCTGCCCCGGGGACAGAGGCGCTGCAGCTGGCCCAGCGTGTCTGACTTAATGAGGAGAGCCCGTCTACTGGTACTCTCAGCTCTGTTCCGGCCTCTCCTACCAGATGGGAGGGGCACGCTGGCGAGGCCACGACCAGAGGGGGAAGCCGGGCACAGGTTGTCCCCAGTTCCCTCGGCAGAAATCCTCTGCTCCACGCACCCCCTTGGAGGCCCTGGTGCTCCACCCAGCCTGCACTCGGGGAGGTCGCCGTTCTTGTCTCCCCCTCTGGTTTGCTCTGTAGTTCTTGGTGCGCGGTCCAAGCCTCTGTCCCGGGAGCTGCTTTTTCCTTCTCTCTGCCCGACATCAAGGCTCTTGCCTTTAGGCCCAACAGACTCACCCCTTGTCTTTTTCTCTGTTCAAGGCAGCTGGCAGCTGCACCCAGCAGTTCAAGTATCTCCTAATCCCAAGCAAAAGCTCTGAGAGATATAAGGAACCCCCATTAAAAATATCACCATATCCAAAGTCCAGGGTCTCCTGGGCCCGGGACCCCGCCATGCCGTTCGGGTAGTTACTGCCCACTCCAGTCCAGCCCCAGAGACCTTACTCGCAGGTTCCCAAGTGACTGAGGGAGTTCTCCCCACCATTGGCTAGCACTGTGGTCCTGGGCAAGTTACCTAACTTATAAGATGGGGATGATGACAGCTGTCTCACAGGGTAAGGGAGGCTGCGCTCAGCCTGGCACGCTGTTTGGGTGAATGTGTAGCCTCCTGCGTCACTCATCTTCTGCCACAGGGAAGCTTCCTCTGCATGTACCTGGGAAGCCAGAAGTGTCTGAGTGACTCTGGGCTGGGGTTGTGATTCTGCCCATTTCTCCCAGCCCCCAGCCCCCAGCATGACCCTTAGGGAAGGAAAGCCGCTCCTTCCCTTGCCGGTGGGCTCCAGGCTAGCACGAGCCTGCCTGGCTTGGCCATGGCAGCCCCTCCTCTTGCCCCCAGACTCCCCCACCCCTGGGCTTCCAGGTGGGCATGAAGCTGGAGGCTGTGGACCGCATGAACCCGTCCCTCGTCTGTGTGGCCAGTGTGACCGACGTGGTGGACGGCCGCTTCTTGGTGCACTTCGACAACTGGGACGACACTTACGATTACTGGTAGTGGGAGGGCCCAGGCTTCCCTGGGGCGGGAGGGGGTGGTGAGCGGATGGCAGGGGGCGGGAGGCAGGACTTCAAAAACTTAGATACTGTGTGGTCCCCGCCCAGCCCTGGACCTAGTATATGTTTAGGGGAATAAGGGACCATCCTATGGATTTGATCTGTATCACAACACAATGCCAAATTAGTGGTATCATCTGAAAATACCAGGGTTAAGATGCACAGATCCCCGAGAGTCATGGTTCGCCCTTAGACAGGATGGCGGTGCTTGAGCTGTTAGTTCATGCGACAGTTTTCTGACTTTCTCAGGAGCTGCCCGTCTAACTCTCACTAAGAAGTAGAATCGGGGTGGGCCCTGACACCACACTGTTGTAGGACAGCAGGCTCAGGGCCTCCAAGTTTCATGTGGGACAGTGAAGTATTCTTGGGTTTCAGGTGTGACCCCAGCAGCCCCTACATCCACCCCGTGGGCTGGTGCCAGAAGCAAGGAAAGCCCCTCACTCCTCCACAAGGTGACCGTGAGGCCTCACCCCGCCGCCCTGTCCCCTGATCCCGTACCAGTGCCTCATTTGCTGGGTCTTTGGGGCCAGGGTGAGGGGGACAGATGTGTCCTGGAACCTCAGCTTCTGTGCCTGGGAATGGAGACCCCTTTAAGTTTAGGAGAGTCCTGTCAAACCCAGACTGTGTGGGGGTTTAAGAGAAGAAAGTTAGATAAACCCTGTCCCCCCAAGCAAGGGTACAGGAGTCCAGAGTGAAGAGAGTGTACCCTTCCCCTTCAGAGAATGTTACATGGGCCCACATACAGTAAAGGTTCACGTGGGGCTGGGCTGGAGCTGGGGCAACAGGGTGGTGGAGAGGGATGGGCACCAGGGTTCCCGGACAGCCCTGTACCCTGGGAGGTGGTGAGGCGCTCGCAAGCACCCTCTGCCTCGGGAGCCCCCTGCAAGGAGCTGGCCGTGGTGATGCTCTGGGAGATGGTGCTCCACGGGCCTCCTCAGGGCAGAGAGCTCTCCCGCTGTGCCTGGGCGCTCGCTGGACACTGCTCTCCTCCTCTCCTCCAGACTACCCTGACCCTGACAGTTTCTGCTGGGAGAAATACCTGGAAGAAACTGGGGCCTCTGCTGTGCCCACCTGGGCCTTCAAGGTGGTGAGTCGGCTCTCCTTGTCCCCGGAGCTGAGCTCAGGAAGGCTTGGAGCCCTTGGCCAGCTAGGATGGTGCCCTGCCCCCACACTCGCCCCTTTGGCAGGCCCCAGGTTCCCAGGCACAGCACGTGGACCTCCTTCTTGAGGCCTCAGCACTGCTGACCTGGGCCTTGGCCTGAGGGCTGCTGTCCCCCTGCAGCGACCCCCACACAGCTTTCTGGTCAACATGAAGCTGGAGGCCGTGGACCGCAGGAACCCAGCCCTGATCCGTGTGGCCAGTGTGGAGGATGTGGAGGACCATCGAGTAAAGGTAGCCCCCGGCCCCATGGGCTGGGGAAGCGAACAGACCAATTGGATAGGAATTCTGTAGATCAATTCGAAGTCAAGGGCATGGCGTGAGCCAGACGTAAGGGAGATTGCACGTTGTGGTGAAGAGAGCTCTAAACTTGAGGCCAAAGATGTTGGGTCTCATTCTACCCTCATGTGTGACTTACCCTTGTAGGCCTGAGCAAGTCATTTCCCTTCTCAGAGCCTTAACATTCTTCCTGTAAAATGGGCCTAATAATCCCAGTCCTAAGCGAGGATTGATGGGAGGTGCCCATAACTCAATGAGTGAAGCCCTTGGAAAATGTTGCAGCCCAGAGAGATTATTGTGGAGTTGGCCCCTTGGTCCTTCCAGTCCAGGATCTTTCTCCTAACAGGCCCCGGGGGTGGGGAGAGCCTCCTGGAGCCTGCAGGGCCTCAGGCTCCACGAGGAACACCTGACTACCTTTTCCCCCCAGCTCCACTTCGACGGCTGGAGTCACGCCTATGACTTCTGGATCGATGCCGACCACCCGGACATCCACCCCGCTGGCTGGTGCTCCAAGACAGGGCATCCCCTGCAGCCTCCTCTCCGTGCGTACCCCTAGGGCGCCCTCATCCTTTCCTACTCGGGTTCAGCCTCACCCTACCCCATGCTCGTACCTCCCCCTCCCTGACAGCACGCCCAGGTCTGACACAGAGGGCTCTGGCGGCCACAGCGCACTCTGAGGTCACGCCTTCTCCCTGCTTCCCTGCTCCCGGGGTTTCTGCTGTACTAAGCAGTTGGGTTTGGGGTATTGAGGTGTGAAGGGGAAACTCACTTGGGAGTGTGTGCTCAGGAGGTAGTTCCACGCCAGGGAGTTCTCTCTGCGTCCGGCAGAACCACACAGAGCATGCGTGGCATCTGCTGAGGATGTGCTGGTTCTGTTAAATAACGTCTCCGTCCCCACAGGCAGGGGTCAGAGGTCAGATCAGTGGACCGCTCAGCTCCAGTCCTCGTGCTCAGGATTCCCCACCCCCCGCCCTGTTTCCCTGCTGCTGCCACGTCTGTCTCACACGGTGGCATGCTGATCTGTCTCGATCATTCTCCGAGCATGGGCAGAGCCTAAGGAAATGACCAAAGTCTGGGGGATGACACAGGGACACAACCAGAGAATGACATGAACCTGCCTGTCGGGGCTCCTGAGGCACTGCTGTGCCCACACACACCACCTCTGCGTTGATCTCCCCGCCCCCCCGCCAAAGGGACAGAGGGCACGGCCTGCAGGTTTCACCAACGTGTGTGAGAGCCAAGCCCCTCACTCCCCACAGAGGGGCGGACACCCAGTAGCAGGAGATGGTGTCACCGCCTAGCTCAGGGCCCCTGTACCTGGGGAACCAGTGCCCGGTGCTGGCCTTCGCCGTGGAAACCGCTTCTGCCCTGCTGCCCATTCCCCCCACCCCACCCCAGCCCCAGGGCCCTATGCTGACTCTTTTCTTCCTGCTCCCCCAGGACCCAGAGAGCCCAGCGCTGCCTCCCCTGGGGGGTGTCCCCCGCTCAGCTATCGGAGCCTGCCGCCCACGAGGACCTCCAAGTACAGCTTCCACCACCGGTGAGGGATGGGTTCCTGCTAAGACCCTCAGGCACTGTTCACACAGAGACGGTCTGTTTTACACCTACTGTGTGCGGCCCCTCAGGGTTCACTAGAGACCCTCTCCGAATGGGAACAAGCGGATCCAGCCCACCTTATGTGCCTTCTTCTTCCCCAGCAAGTGCCCCACTCCGGGCTGTGATGGGTCTGGCCACGTGACAGGCAAGTTCACGGCTCACCATTGCCTCTCGGGCTGCCCGCTGGCTGAGAGGAACCAGAGCCGGCTGAAGGCGGAGCTGTCGGACTCGGAGGCCTCGGCCCGTAAGAGGAACCTCTCGGGCTTCTCCCTAAGGAAGAAGCCCCGCCACCACGGCCGGTGCGGAGGGCAAGGGTGCGGGGCCTCGTGTCCTCTCGGGCCGGGCCAGGCACTGGTGCCCCGCCACGGACCTGGTCCCTCTCTCTCCAGGATTGGGCGCCCCCCAAAGTTTCGGAAGATTCCACAAGAAGATTTCCCGAGTAAGTCCAGGGTGGTTCACTCCCATGGCCTCCACGCGTTGTTTACAATTGGTGGGATTGGAGTGGGGCGGTGACGGAGTCCAGAGAAAAGAAGCTGGAAGGGGGCGTTGTATCTCTTCATCTGAGATACTTGGGGAGCATAGCTCAGTGGCGGGAGTACGGATGGGGCCTTGAATGGCCTTGAATGACCACAGGCTCCAGTCCCATTGCACCCATGGCCTTGCTGGGAGTCTGTGGGAGAGACACAGAGCCTCCCTGGGCCTCTGGTTTTCCATGGTAAGGTCAAGTGCTGCCCCCGGCTCTGTTCTTCTTAATTCTAGGTTCCCTGGGAGTGACCTTGAACAAGTCACTTAACCTCTCTGAGCCTCAGTTTCCTCATTAGAAAACATGAATAACTGCCTTCCGGGTGTCAACTACCTGGAGTGGTTGTGGTCACTGCCAGGGTTCACTGAGCACCCACTACAGGGTTCATGGGCACTGTTCCAGGGGCTTTACGTCCACTGTCGCTGACTCTCCCAGCATCCTTTGGTGGGCTATTCTCTCCTTCTGGGAGGGGGGAAATGGGAGGCTCAGACAGGGAGGTCATTGGCTCGAGGTCCCTCACTTGGGAAGGAGCAGAGCTGGCATTTGAGCTCAGGCCTGACTGCTCCTGCTGCGAGCGGCCGATATAACGGACACAGAGCGCCCGACCCGAGTGTCAGTGTGCTTTCCATTGCCGTTGTCTGGCCTCGGCTGTCACAACCAAGTGCCGCAGACTTGCGGGCTTGCACAACAGAAACTCATTTTCTCCTGCTTCCGGGAGCTGGAAGTCCAAGTCCGAAGTACAGAAAGGTTTGGTTTCTTTGGAGGCCTCTCCTCTGGGCTGCAGGTTCTGCCTTCTCGCTGTGCCCTCGCCTGGTCTTCCCGCTATGCCCGTGTGCCCGCCATCCCCATCTCTCTGCGAGTTCCAAATGCTTTTTCTCATAAGAGCACCAGTCGGATTGGATGAGAGCCCACCCTTATGATCTTATTTTAACTTACCCACCGCTTTGAAGGCCCTTTCTCCACTTATAATCACATTCTGAAGCACCCGGCCTAGGGTTTTAGCATATGAATTGGGGAGGGGCACAGTTTAGGAAATATTTATTTATTTCTTTTTAGAGAGAGGGGAAGAGAGGGGAAGAGAGGGAGAGAAACATCAATGTGTGATTGCCTTTCGTGCACCCCCCACTGGGGACCTGGTCCACAACCCAGGCATGTGCCCTGACTGGGAATCGAACTGGCACCTCTTTGGTTTGCAGGCCAGCACTCAATCCACTGAGCTACACCAGCCAGGGGTGGGGGGACACTGTTTAGCCCATAGCATGCTTGAAGGAGGGTGACAAGGCCACAGAGCCCTCCACTGTGTGATGCATTCATGTCACATCTTTGGCCAGTAGGAAAGGGCCTGATACACAGCAGGGACACTGGGGATCTCGCCTCAGTGGAATTGAATGCAAATCGTTTTAAGGCAAGAAGAGACCATGAGCAATCACCTGGCTTGTTGCACAGTTTCTGGGTGGGACCCAAGTGATTCAAGTGCTTCGGGGACAGTCCCTGTAACCCGAGCAGAACCTGAACTCAGACGGCCTTTTTTTACCAGCCAGGAAACCTTGAGCAGGTGATGCTGCCTCTCTGAGCCTCGATTTCTTCGTCTGTAAAATCCTGATGACAATGGTGCCCCTCTTAAATGGTGGTGGAAGGCTTAAATCAGATGGTCCTGAAAGTGTTTAATAACCTGCGGGAGTTCTCACTAACCCTGGTCTTGGCCTGCCTCCCCCGGGGTGTTGTTCTTACTGTTTCTTCTTGCTGGAGACAGAAGGCGATTCCTGCAGCCCCAGGCCAGACTGGGGAGGGCCTTGGCCTGCCTCCGGACCCTCAGAGTGAGGGCTTTGGGGGATGGGACTGCAGTGGCCCCTCTTCTACCCCCCTGTGGAATACCTGGTCGGCTTCCATTGTAGGGCCACGTTCTGACCACCAGAGGGTGCATGCCTACTGTGTTCATTCCAGAAATTTCCTGAGTGCTAGGGGAGTTAAGTCTTCCCAGGAGAGGGCCTCCAGGCCCTTCAGGGACAGAGCAGGGGCCAGAGCTCAGGCCTGTCGCCTCTGTGCAGGGCTCCCTTGTTCTACCAGCTGGCTCTTTCACAGAGGGGACACTGGTCGCTGGATTTTGTTCCAGAGGCTTCTCACGCAGCCATGGGTAGACGTCCTCAGCGTGGGCTCCAGCGTTCGCTGGTAAACAGTTGCTCCAGGGAGGGAAGGCTGCCTGCGGAGGACAGGGCTTAGCTTGCTTCCCCGCTCCTGGGCCTTCCCAGCCCCCTGAGTGTCAGCGAGAGAACAGGAGGAAACCGCAGAGATTTCCTTCCCAACCTGTTCATTTACCGGCTGGGGAACTGAGACCCCCACTATGTAACTTCCCCAGCATTAAAGAGCAAGTTAGTGAGGGCCCGAAAGGACTTCAGGAAAGGAGGACAGACAGAACGGGCTTCTGATGCCTGCCTGGGCTGTGCTGGCTTGGGTGCGGGGGCCACCTGGGTGTGAGGTGTCTAGATGTGGGCTCCGCCCACAGCGCCCCCCTCCCTCCCCATGCCCAGCCGCCTCGGATGAGAATAAGTCTACCAAGACATGATCTGCTTGGGGAGGAAGGGTGGCCAATCTCTCAAAGGAGAAGGGCCAAGAGCCTTTTCCTCAATGGGCTTTGATTGGGTTCCTTTACTCAGGAATTCAGGTAAAGCTCATTACTCATTGCCAGGAAGTAAGGATCAAATAACAAGGAACCTGAAGGCCTATTTTGAGTCAGGGTCAGATAGCTAAAGAGCTGTAAAACTTTGAGGAACAAACTCACTTCTTGCTTGGACCCTTATCATTTAATTGAGAGCATTCTAAACAAAGCAGATTTCACAGGATTTTACATATTCTTTCTTAGGCCTGATTGCCCAGGGAACCGGCCCTTTCCAGCACAGGGCTGCACCACCTTCTGTCATTGTTTAGGCTTAAGTCAGGCAGGGGAAGTAAGGCAGCCAAGAGATTAGGAGACTTCTTGTAGACAGAATGAGGACTCAGGCTTTGTCAAAGTCAAGGGGCAAGGGTCCATCACCCCCTTTTGCTATAGCCCCCCAAGTCCTTCCTTGGGGGCCTCCCACATGATCACGCCTGTCCTAGGTCGTTCCCCGCTTGGGGAATCTTACCTGTCATTGGTTAACCGACCAAACATTGGGGGCCAGGCAGGGTGAAGTAGGAGCAGAAGCAGAGCTCCTGCCAGGGAGTAAGCTTTTGTCTCCTTGGTGGTTTACAGTTCCAAGGTCATTCCCTCAGCCTTAGCCTTGGTGGGGGGGTTACAGCTTCTGAAACCAGGCAGGGTGGTTTCCAACATCTAGAGACTGGTGCCAGGATGTCGCCTCAGAGGCGACCTCAGAGGTGTGGCCTCAGAGGGATGGGGTAGGGTCATTCCAAACAGCCGAGAGTCTGTGAAGTGAGGAACCCACTTTACTGGAAGGAGCGAGCCCCAGATGAGGAGTCTGGTCTGGACTGCCTTCTTGGCCACAGTCCTGAGTAGCACGGGGCTTTGGGGCCAGGGTAGTCCCCGGCATTGGCCTGCTAGCCTCTGCCTCTGCTTTCCAGCACTAACGACCGATGTCATCCACCAGTCCCTCTTCATGTCAGCCCTGTCGGCCCACCCTGACCGGTCACTCTCAGTGTGCTGGGAGCAGCATTGCAAGCTCCTGCCGGGGGTGGCGGGCATCTCAGCCTCGACAGTTGCCAAGTGGACCATCGACGAGGTGAGGAGTGTGGGCCCCTGCCCCCTCTCCCTCCCCCACTTTTCCCTGGCACCATGAAACCCTGGTTTAGCAAAGGCCCCCCTGCCAGACAGGGGTGGACATTGCCCCTGACGCTGTCTCCCGCTCATCCCCTGAGTGCACAGTCCCTCCTGGTTGCCCAGCAGGGACTGACAGAGAGACTGTTCCTTAGGCTCATCTGATGGATGGGGTGGGGGCAGGCTGCCAGTCCAGCTGGAAATCCAGCAGCAGAGACATGCAAGGATCCTCTTAGGCTGATATGTACAAGCAACATTGTCACAGCCCTGAAGGCGCCAAGGCCAGAGGAGGCCACCTCTCCCGTGTACTCCTGGGTCGGTCTCCTTGGCAACATGTGTTCTTTGATTTTCAAGGTCTCCGGCTTCGTTCAGACCCTGACAGGTTGTGAGGACCAAGCACGTCTCTTCAGAGATGAGGTGAGTGAGGCAGGTGCAGAGTGGGGACAGAGGAAGGTCACTCACGGAGACGGCAGGAAGCAGCTGTCCTCACCAGTGCTGCCCTCAGAGAGGCATGGCCCTCTGTCGCCCCCCTGGGGGAGAGTGGGCAGAGTGACCGCACCTCTGGGGAAAGTCTGGTGTGGACCGCGGCCCCACTGGGAAGCCCCTGCGGTCAGACCACCCCCAGGAAGGGAGAAGCACCCCGGAGACCAGACTCCATTCCTCGCCCTGCTCTCTGGCCGATCTTTTGTTTTCCCAGCTTTCCTTCGGTCAGTCCATCAAAGGGCATTTCGAATGGCACAGGTAGTGCCATTTACTGCAAGGGTCCTAACCCGCACTTCAGGCCAGGACCCAGAAGCTCCCCAAAGATAAGAAGCGGTGAGCTGTAGATACAAGAATGCTAGCTTTGCGGACAGCTGGGTTTGAGTCCAGTTCTGCCAGCCAGAGCTTTTGACAGTCACTGAGCCTGCATCTTCTTACGTGTGAAATTGAGATAAAGTAGGTGTAATGATGCTTGCCTTTCAAGGCCATTGTGAGCTTTGGCAATGATGAATGGATCATTGTATCAGAACGTCTAGTATCATTATACCACTAGTATATATACTATTATATGACTATAGAATAACATATACACTATGCTCTATTAATATTATACATAATATTATAGAGTAATATATAAATCATATCACTATACCAGAATAACTGATACAGAGGGAGTTCAATCCATGGTGGTTCTGACTTTTAACGTGTAGCTGTCCTTAAATGAAGAGCTTTATCGTGTCTCTCCTACTTCGTAGAGTTTGAAACTGGAAGGGACCTTTGAGTTTGTTTAGGTCTCCCTTCCAAAGAATGCACACCCCTCCTCCCAGGAAAGTGTAGTCTCTGCTCTCCATCAGGGCCCCGCAGACGGACGCCCATGAGAAGGAAGTCTGCCCCTCCCCCACCGCAGGCCCACCCCAGTCTCTGCATCAGATCCTTGCCGGGTGGGGCTCCTGACTCCTCCCCATTCCTGGCTCCTCCCAGGTCAGAGACCTTATGGTAACGTGCGTCCAGAGCTGCACCTGCGTTTCACATACCCTCTGACCCACACAGGACACCTGGGCTGCTGCTCCTCCAGATGGCTTTGCTTTTTGTTTTTAAAAAGACCTTATTACTGAGGAGCAGTTTCAGGTTCTCATCAAAACTGCACCTGAGAGGAAGGTACAGAGATGACTCACATGCGCCCGGTCCCACACTCGCGTGGCCTACCCCTTCGCCGCCGCTGTCACTCGGCAGAGCGGGGCACGGGCTACTGCTGATGAACCAACACCTGGGTGTTCTTAAATGGAAAACTAGTGTGCACGGCGAGAAATGCACCCGTTTCAAAAGTGCACTCCCACAAGATTTGTGCAATGTATTCACTCTGAACCCAAGGCTTTGGTCATGATATGAAACAGTTCCATCAAACCAGAAAGTTCTTTCTCGGCCCCTCTCATCAGTCTCCAGTGTCACGGGCAACCACTGTTCTCCTTTCTAGCACCACAGGTTGGTTTTGCCTGCCCTTGCACTTCGTGTGACGGAGTCGTAGAGCATGTGCGCTTTTCTGTCTGTCTCCTTTCACTCGGTGACGTGCTTCTGAGGTGCGTGCGTGTTACTGTGTCTACCAGTAGTTCGTCCATCTTCATTGTTGAGTAGTGCTCCATTTTATAAATATTCCACACTCAAGAGACATTTTGTTTTCCCCTCAGTTTGGACCCTGTATTTTGGGGAGCAAAACTTAAGATGGCACTGGCTTTATTATAGCCACATCACACCAGTTTGGGGTTCAGGAAAGACCTCAGTGCCTTTGATATCAATTATCCATCGTAATCTAGACACACTTGCCAGTGTGTTACTTGTACCACTGGTTTTTTCATTCCTCTAATGTCAGACTTTACATTTCTCCCTATTAAATGTTATCTTGTTTGTTTCATAGTCTCATTGTTTTAAATCTCAGCTCTGGTCATCTCTGATATTAATAAGCCTTTCCAGCCTAAGCCTTCTGTGTTATAAGCCAAGTCTTCCCCACATGTGTTCATGAGACAGAGCAGAACCGCGTGGCATTTATTGGAGACCTTCCTTTATGTGACAAAAAATCACAAATGAATGTTCTTTGAATACATTCGTTCAGCCAGCTGCTGAGCCACCCAAGATTTAATCCTCTAGTCCAGGCTAGGCTTCGTGTTGTCCCCGTGTGGGGAGAAGAGCTGTCTCTCCTGGGAACATCTGCTGATGTCTCGGTTCAGCATGTTCTGAAATACAAAAAAAAAGCAATGGCCAGAACAGAGACAATGTGCTGGTAGACCCACAGTATCCAATAGTGTCTCAGTGTAGACCTTCGTGGGGGCGGAGCTTGCCTTCTCCGAGGTCTGGTCCACGTCATCAATCTCCCCAGGGACGGAGTTCTCTCTGGCTGAACGGATGCAGTCAGCATATTCAGGGACACTGGGCAAGATGCCCTTTAGCCAGGATGCAGACCAGTCAGTAGATGGAAGCTTCGTGAGTGAGGAATTAGAGCAAAACGGATAGCTGGTCTGATGGGCAGTCCCTCCAGTGTGGTAGTTGGCACTCACGGTCCTGAGCAGAGTCTGCCAGTCCTCTTGGGCATCTTTATTGTAGCCCTGTGTGTTTGTTAAATGTATTCAGTACTGATACCCACTCTGTGCCAAGCCCCATATAAGGTGACAAGGATGCGGAAGGAAAAGAGCAGGAGACCCCACTCCCAAGGCTTCGCACGTAGTAGGGGAGGCAGAATGGTGCATTGCTGCTTCTGGTAGCATGTGGTAAGGGCTCCAAGGGAGGTGCGTGCCCGGTGTAATGGGGGCTCCCAGGAGGGGCCAAGAGACTCTGCTGACCGTGCAGCCGATAAACACTGGCAACTTCTTGCTCCCCAAGTGTCCCCTTCTCCTGGGTGCCTGTGGGCCATGTCTTTCTGTTGTGATGGCGTAGAAGTCTCCTCACCAGATGTTTTAAAAATTTATTTTATTTTTTTAAAGATTTTACTTATTCATTTTTAGAGAGGGGAAGGGAGGGAGAGAGGGAGAGAAACATCAATGTGTGGTTGCCTATCTCACACCCCCTTCTGGAGACCTGGCCTGCAACCCAGGCATGTGCCCTGACTGGGAATCAAACTGGTGGCCCTTTGATTCTCAGGCCGCCACTCAAGCCACTGACCCACACCAGCCAGGGCATCACCAGGTGCTGAGAGTGCTGATTAGATTTTAGCTTGGCCTCTGTTCACTGTTGCACGTGTGGCTCTCTAAGGTTACCTCAACTTGGGAAATTCCCTGGTCCTATCCTCAGCTCTGGGCTATTGCTGAGGGTGGATTATTGATTTGCCTTATTTAATTTTCCCGTTGAATTCCTCTACCTTCGAGGTCAAATATGACCCTGCCGACATTATGGCTCAACACTCCCCATATTCGTCAGCACACATACAACGTCTTCTATGTTCTTCAGTAATCCCATTGTCCCCTGACGCAGTCCCAAACTGCTGGACCAAAACTCTGACCTTTGCTGTGAAGAACTAGAATCAGCCCCAGCAGTTACTGGAGTGAGAAGACTCTGAGTGATGCACCGGAACCCTTGGAAAAAGTCTTGCAGCATGTGCCCTCATGGATTTGTCTGATTGCTGCCTTGTGGTGTCACTCAGCTTGTTCCGACAACCCCTGCATTTCCCATGAGCTAGAAGTTAGATCCCAAGGCATGGTTAGGTTTAGATGGAGTCAATCTCTCTGTCTCTCGCCTTGTCTCTCTCTCATAGCTCATAGGTAATACTGTGATCCTTTGGCTGGCATGCCCACCTGTCTGTTAACAGGAATAAGATTGACCAGTGGATTCATGTGGGGACAGTGACAGCAGGTTTTTTGAAGCTATGTCAGTGAGGACTCAAAACATTTTGCAGATATACACCGAAGTCCAGTAGAAAGAAAGTGTGTGCATGCGTGTGTGCGTGCGTGTGAACATGGGGAAACCAGTGGATATCTTTCTTTCCTTCTCTGTCCCCATGGCTGTCTTCCTTTTTTCCTTTCTCCCTCCCTTCTCCTTTCTCCTTTTCCTTCTTCTTTCCCTCTCCCTCGTCCTTTCCTTCCCCCCACGTATCCTTTACTCCCATTTTCCTTCTCCCCTTCCCCTCCCCATGCACATGCCCACCTTCCTTCACTCCTTCCCCATGACCCTCTCCACCTTCTCCGCTTTCCACCTCCCTCCCCCAACCCTCAGATGATTGACGGCGAGGCCTTCCTTTTGCTGACACAGGCGGACATTGTGAAGATCATGAGCGTCAAGCTGGGCCCAGCCTTGAAGATCTATAACGCCATTCTCATGTTCAAAAACGCCGATGACACCTTAAAGTGACTGGCGCGGGGCTGGGCCCTCCTCCAGCCCCAGCCGGGCCTCCCTCTACACCTGATGCTTCTTTCCTTCGTGACTCAAGTTCCTCATATCCCACCTGTGCCCCCACCGCTCGCCCTCTGTGTCTGACCAGGGGCGGTCCCTCTTCTCTCCGGGGCTTCTTCCGACAAGATACATGGAAGCAGAGGAGCCCTGGGGCAGATGGAGTCCCAGCCCCCAAGTCCTGGCACTCGTCAGCGTGCCCGTGAGGGTGCGACTGCGCTGAGGGAGCATTGGTGGTGGAGTGGGATGGGGTGCCCTGCCTGCGGCAGCCCACAGTGTCTCTAGTCACCTTGTGTTAATCACCAAAGGGTCTTTTTTGTTAGCAGTTAAGGATAGTCTGGTAGACCAGGAGACCCTATTTGGCATCTCTGTGCTTTTCTTTCCTTGTCTCCTTCCCTCCTACCAAGAGGTGACCCTGCCACAAATGTATCAACTCAGAAAGACTCCTCCCCGCCTCCCGCCCCCTGTGCTGCTCTCATCCTGCCTGGTTTGCTGGGCAGGACCACCCACCAATGCCCCCAGACCCTGCTGGCTCTTCCCCTGGGTGGGTGAACCGCAAAAACGTGTTTTTCTAGGATCCAATGGGAGTCTCAGCTGCCTTTCTCCCTTTTACCCAGACGTGAGGGATTCCGAGCCACAACACCTTTTAAACAGGCCCCGTTCTGGACTGCTTGGCATTGGTAGTGTCCCATGCCACGTCCTGTTTCCAGCAGAGTGGGCGGGCAGAGCGCTTTCCCTCTGCAGCAGAGGGTGAGGTTCCATGGACGTTCCCTGTACACTCGCTGCTGAGGGCGTGGGGACGAGGCAGCTTAGCTGGCCGGGTAGCCAGGGCCCGGGTGTGAGACAATCTCAGATCTCTGGTCAGAGGGGCAGCTGCAGCAGGCATGGTTGCTCCGAGAGCTGGGCATAGCACCCTTCTCTGCAGCCGTGGGTCTCAGCCAAGGTGTTGCCCACAGTGGGGGTGGGGGGGGCATGCCTGCCAGGCCTCCTGTCGAGGGAATGTAACACTCTGTCAGGCACACACACACACACACACACACACACACACCCTATAACATCACATCGACCTAGCCCTTAAATGGCCTGCTCTTGAGGAGTTATACAAAGATGACTTGAAGTTGGGGGGTTGGGGAGGTGAATTCTGTCTTTGAATTCTCTGTGTCCTTTAAGCCTTTCTTACCACTCTCCATCAGTGTTACACTGCCAGCCAGGTGCCTGCTGGGACTGTGGGACTTTGACCTTCCTGTCCCAGCGGGGGCCCAGCACCCAATGAGCCACTGCCAACCCTGCCTGCAGCCTGGGAGTGGGCCCCACATGGAGGTGAGGAGCAGCTGCCAAGCTCCCACGGCCTGCGAGGTGTGCAGCGGGGGCGGGGTGGGGGACTTCCCCAGACCCCCTCTGTCTTGATGTGTGAGTGTGTATGTGTGCGTGTGCATGTGCAGGGCACTCTCAGAAGTGTTTGGCAGGGTGTTGACGTGAGGCTCAGCGTTAGGAAAATGTCAAGGGCTATTACTATTAAAATATGAAGCTTTATCTTTCCAATAGAGGAGGGAAACCCAAGGTTCAGTTGATTTCCTGCCCCAGCCCAGGAAGGGGTCCTCTCTCGCAAGGGACCAGACAGCTTTGCTGGCAGCCATTCAGGCCTCCCCAGTTGCACCCAGCGTGCCCCACCGCCGCCCCCAGAGCTTTAGATGTTCTGTCCCTTTCAGCTCTTAGAGTCTGCTGTGCGCACAGCCTTCTAGGGAGGGCGTGGGCAGGCCCTGCCTCCGCTGAGGCTCGGGTTTACTGAAGTTGCCTGGGCGTCACCATTGGCTAGAGGGTAAGGCAGAGCCAGTCTGAGCCTCTCTGTCTTGGCTGCTGGGGTGGTAGCAAACTCACCAGTCCTCTGGCTTCGGCTCCGGCTGAGATGGGGGAGAGATGCTCGGTGGCTTTGTGGTGGGAGGAGAAGGCAGCAAGTCCACACAGCTGAGTGGGGCTGGGATGCCTTCACCAGTGGGTTTACCAACCGTGCGCTTGCCTACTGGAAAGGCAGGATGGACCATGGGCCGTAGAGAAAAGGGCTCCCAGGCCCCCAAACTCTGGGGCTTCACCACTTGTTGTGCCAATGTCCAACTCTTTGGGAGGAAACCAAGTCATTAAAAAGGAGAAAGAAATCTGCCTCCTGTCCACCCCACTGCCCCTTCATTCACCTGTCCCAAGATGAGATCATCGCACCTTGACCTGGGAGCTCAGTGAGGGGAGGGCATGGGCGCTGGCGCCTGGTGCCATGTGACCTCTGCCCAGGCTCCGCAGCAGCGGCCACCACTTACACTTTGGCCCGGCAGCCTCACCCAGCTCTGGTCCAGGCCAGTGAGGACCTTTCTGTTTGATTTCTAAAGCAGAGAGAATGATCCCAGAGTTTGAAAACGAAGCCTGTTTGCACTTTCATTCACACGCACTTTGGTGGAGTTAGGGTTTTGTACTTGCTGTGTGTGTGTGCGCACATACGTGTGTGTTCTTGAAGAGAATCTTCTGGTTTAAGATAAAGTGACTCTTGACTCATGAGGGGGAAGGAGTTCCAAACAAATGTGGTGTGCTCTGTCATTGTATTGAAGCAACATAAATAAACTTGAATAACTGAATGACATGCGTAGTTTGTTCTATTGCCATGGTAAAATGTCCAGCAAACACCAAGTGAATATCTAGAATACCATTACTGAAGAGCATGAAGTGTTCTTTCTGCTGTTAGGGGCCCTAAAGAATCTGATTTTTATTCTGTCTTAAAGATAAACACAGGATAAAGATATATGCACATACTATCTACATGGAGAATTATACACAGTGGGAGTTCACAGAGGATAGTGGGAAAAGCCTGAGCCTTGACAGTTCGTGACTGGTAAGGGCAGAGAAGTCAACGAAGTATTCAGTTTTTAAAATAGCCTGAAACTTTCAGGTGGGGAAATACCGCACCGAACAATTAGAATTTGTTAAGGTTTCCAGAGACTGTGAGCAGATGGGAAAGTAGCACAAAGGTCATGGTCAAGCACATCAACCCCTTCTTTGCCAATATCCTTAATTCCTTTGCCCTGCTGTTCTTCCAGACACTTGGCTAGAAGAATGCCAACCATGGATCTAAGAGCCCGTCGTTCCCACATCTTGACCGGGAACTTAGCTGACTGAGCAGCGTGCTGGCCATGGTTGACCGAGAGTCTTTGGCTTCAACGTGAAACCTCAGGGCTGCCCAGGAAGCAGCTGGGTTTGGGGGGGTTTGGCTTTGACTTCCCTTTTTATACTCCTGAAACCTCCTACCCCATTACCCTCCATGTCATCTCAGTAGATGTCCCCCCCATCTGTGTCACAGAGAACATGGAATTCATCAGAAGGAACACCCCCATATTTCTACCACCTCACCTGCTAGTCTCCTTCCACCCGCATCTGTCTTCCATCTTCCCTGACCATCACAGCAGGAGAGGTGGTTTTTCTACTTGTCGGAAGCGAGATCCTCGACCATCCATGGCTGCTATAAAAGGAAAAGAAACATTGAGAGACAAGAAAGGATGTTTGGAAATTTAAAATGTGATTGCAGAGAGAAAAATAATTGAATGCAAGGCTGAAAGATAAAGTTGAGAATATTGCCCAGAAAAGTGCCAGGTTTCAAACTTTTGCCTCCTCTGCACCTTTCCTCTGAAAGGCATCGGAGGATGTGATCCATCAGAATGAGAGAGTACATAAAAAAAGAGGATGATCCCAGGAATACAAGGATAGTTTAATGTAAGAAAATCAATCTTTATAATATATCACATTACTAGCATGAGAGGGGGAAAAAAACACATGATCATCTCAACTAATGCAGGAAAGTCATTTGACAAAATCAATACTGTTTCACAATAAAAAGAAGTCAGAAAACTAGGAATGGGGCATCTATTTAAAAAAAAAAAAAAGCCCACTGCTAACATCATACTCAGTGGCAAAAGACTGAAAGCTTTCTACCTAAGATCAAGAACAAGACAAGGAGGCCCAGCTCCACCTCTGGTATTCAGTATTGGACTGGAAGTTCCAGCCAGAACAGGTAGATAAGAAACATAAATAAAAGGTGTCCACATCTGAAAGGAAGAAGTCAAAACTATCTCTTGTAGATGCCATGATCTTATATATAAAGAATCCACAAGGAAGCCGCTAGAGCTATTAAATAAATTGAGCACAGCTGCAGAGTGTAAGCTCAACACAAAGTCACTTGTATTTCTAATTATCTGCAACAAACAATCCAAAAAAGAAATTAAGAAAGCAATTCCACTTACAATAGTATCTAAAAAAGTACCTAGGAATAAATTTAAACAAGGAGATGAAAGAAAGTTATAAAATATTGATGAAAGAAATTAAAGAAGGCTTAAAAAATAGAGAGGCACAAGTGTTCATGGGTAGGAAGACTTAATGTTGCTAAGATGTCAATACTACCCAAAGTGATCTACAGATTCAATGCAAACCCTATCAACATTACAATGGCCTTTGTCTGCAGGAATAGAAAAGCCGATCCTCATACTCATGTGGAATGGCAAGGGGCCTCCCCAAACCAAAACAATCTTGTAAAAGAGCAAAATGGGAGGAGTCACTTCTCCTAATTTCAAAACTTATCACAAAGATAAAGTAATCAAAATAGTGTGATGCTGGCATATGGACCAACATAAAGACCAATTGAATAGAAGAATTGAGAGTCCAGAAATAAATCCATATGGGCAATTGTTTATTTTTATTTATTTATTTTTAGACAGAGGGGAAGGGAGGGAGAAAGAGAGGGAGAGAAACATCAATGTGTGGTCGCCTTTTGCACACCCCTACTGGGGACCTGGCCTGCATCCCAGGCATGTGCCCTGACTGGGAACCAAACCAGTGACCCTTTGGTTCACAGGCCGGCACTCAATCCACTGAGCCACACCAGCCAGGGCTGGGCAATTGATTTTAGATGAGTGTCAAGTCCATTCAATGGAGAAAGACAGCTTCTTCATGAAGTAGGACTGAGACAACTGAATTTCCACATGTAAAAAACATAAAGTTGAGAAAAAAATGAAGTTCAATGCCTACTTTACACCACATACAAAAATGAACTCAAAATGGTATGAATATCTAAATATAAGAGCTAAAAGCATAAAACACTTCGAAGAAAGCATAGTTCAATCTTTATGACCTTGGAACTGACAATGGATCCTTGATGGGACACCGAAAACACAAGCAACAAAAGAAAAAATAGTTCAGTTGAACTTCAGAACTGAAGAACTTTTATGCATGAAAGGAGATTATCAAGAAAGTGCAAAGACAACCTACAGAATGGGAGAAAATAATTGCAAATTGTATATCTGACAAGGGTTTACTATCCAGAATATACAAAGAACTCCTAAAACTAAACAAAAAGATAAACGACCCAAATAAGAAAACAGGCAGAGGACTTGACTAGACATGTCTCCAAAGAAGATACACAAATGATTAACAAACACTTGAAAAGGTGTTCAACATCATTAGTCATCAGAGAAATGCAAGTCAAAACCGCAATGGGATATCACTTCACATCCACTAAGATTCCTATAATTTTTTGAAAAAGGAAAAATAACAATTGTTGGCAAGGATGTGGAGAAGTTGCTGGTTGCAATGTAAAGCGGTGCAGCTACTGTGCAAAACAATTGGGCTGTTTAGGAACAGTTTGGTTCCTTAAAAAGCTAAACAGAGAATTACCATATTACTCAGAAGCTCCACTCCTAAATATACACCTGAAAGATTTGAAAACAGGGACTGTATTTGTGTGACAGCGTTTGTTGAGGCAGTATGCACAACAGCCAGAAGGTGGAGACAACTCAAGTGTCTACTGATGAATGAATCAGTAGACAAAAGTGGTATGTCCATACAATGGAATATTCTCCAACCATAAAAAGGAATAAACAACATGGCTGAACCTTGAAAACATTTTGCTAAATAGAATAAGCCAGATAGGAAAGGACAAATATGTGATTTCACTCATGTGAAAGATTTACAACAGGCAAACTGGTAAAGACAGAAAGCAGATTAGAAGTTGGCAGGCTGGAGTGAAGGGGAATAGAGGGTTCCTGCTTAATGGGTACTGAGTCCCTCTTTGGGGTGATGGAGAACTTTTGGAACTACATAGTAATGATGGTTGCAGAGCATTGAAAATGTACTTAATGCCCCTGAACTGTCCACTTAAAAACAGTTAAAAAGACAAATTCCATGTTACACAGATTTAACCACAATTAAAAAAAATCTTAAGAGGAAAACAGGATGCAGGAAACAGGAGAGACAGCAAAGACGAGGATGAAGGGAATGCCCAGCGTGATGGGAGGGAAGGGCCCGGTTGACAATGGAGCGACTGTCCAGGAGAGAATGGAAGGATAAAACTGAAACCTATGTTACTGTGTTAAAAGGATCATTTCCACTGTAGCAGGGCACTTACGAGAGAATCACATGTGTATGTTCGTGTACATGTAAGTGTATTCAATATTTCAAATCCTCACATGAGGCAGTTATTAAAACCCCATGCCTGTTACGCCCTCCGGGTGGCTCTGCAGCCGTGACAGCGTGTGTGCAGGTGAGGGTAGCAGGGGGAGGAGCGCGGGGGGCTGGATAAGCACAGGAAAGTGGGCTGCGGAATCGCAGGGTGGAGGCAACATTCACGGACTTGGGTTCTCATTGGTTCAGTCGTTTTCCTTCCCATCCCTGAGGACAGACATATCTTTGCCCTTCGTACCCAAACAACGGAATTGGCCAGTTGGACAGAAAAGATGGGAGGGTGGAAGGGAAAAGGAGGGGGAAGATGGGAAGGTGATGTGCACCCTCAGTGGCCTCACAGTAGGGGTGGCCCTGGGGAAAGGGCAAGTGTAAGCCCCGCTGACAGCCGTGGCGGTCGGTACTGCTTTATACAGTGATTTGGTAGGGAGGTCAGCATTAACCCGACACCTTTATTTGCAGTTAGCAGACAGAAGCACTAGCACCTGGCCACGGGACAGTAACACAGAGATGTTCTCTGCAGCCTTGTTAGACTTACTACGAAATTGATAGCAGCCTGAATGTCTGCCAGCAAAGGAACCGTGACTACGGAACAGGGGCAGGAAAATTAATCCCACATTATACAATGAGATGTTGATTTTTTTTTAAGGTTGAATCTTCATGTGTTGACATGGAAAGGTGTGTGTGAGAAAAAAGTGAGTGGCTGAACACTATGGGTAGTATGACCCATTTTTCTGGGGATAAAAGTGTATGAGATACATAGATGAGGGCACACGCCAAAGTCGGGAAGGACAGTCAGGGTTTAGTTAACAGCAGTTACCTCCAGGAATGTGATCGAAAATGGTTTGGAGAAGAAGCTTCCACTTTTATTTCACAGTCTGCTGTGGGCTGGAAATCTCCAATACAGTTTAGGCAATACCATTATACCGGGTCTTTAAAAACCAGCTTTGGGAGTGCGGGGGTGGGGCTTGGTGCAACGGTGACAGGACCGCTCCAGAAAGGGGCAGGACCCAGGGCTCTGCCCTGATTTGCTTGGTGCACTTGGGCTGCCGCCCCACCCCGATTTGGGCAGGGCCAGTCACAAGCTGATGGGTGTGTTGTTTGTGCTCTGATCCAGGATTGAACCTGCAACCGGGTCAGGACAATGCTCTAACCTAATTGACCTACTCAGCCAGGACAAGCAGCCAGCTTTTAAAGCACTAGAAATGACTGGGAAGTTGCTGACATTTTATTTATTCATTTCTTTAAATCCTCACCCGAGGACATTTTTTCATTACTTCAGTGAGAGAGGGGGAGAGAGATAGAGAGAGAGAAGGAGAGAAACATCGCTGTGAGAGAGAAACATTGACTTGGCTGCCTTCCTGAACATACCCCAACTGGGGACCAAACCCAAAACTTGGCTCTGTGCCATCACCAGGAATCGAACCTGTGAACTTTCAGTCCACGGGGTGATGTTCCAACCAAATGAACCACACCAACCAGGGCATGCTGTTGACATTTTAATGAGATGTAATTGAAGAAACCAGTGTGCTGGTCAGACTCTGAGTTGCCTGCTGACAAAGGGGTCACTGGGTGGAGCTTTTCTTACCTGTCCAGCAGGCCAGGCCCCATCCGTACCCTGAGTTAGAACCCTCAGTCTGGGCACCCTCAGGTCAACCAGGGACAGCCTTCCCTCCAGGGACCTGGGGAGAGCTGAGCCCTGGGCCTTGAGCCTCAAGTGTCGGAGGGGCAGAGCAGGGCTTGGGTCTCAGCCAGCCCTGGTTGTCCCAGGATGGTGCCCAGACAGAGCCGGTGCAGGCGAGCTCTGGGTGGCAGGCTTTGGCTCAGCACAAGAGAGTGCCAGACATGTCGGGTGTGAGCAGCCTCTCCCTGGAGGTGCCCACGAAATGGGCTGACCGCAGAGGCCGGCGGTCCTATCGGGGACCAGTAGAGGGGAGAGTTGTGTGTGACCTGCCCTTCGGGTGGCCTGTTCTCCGGGCTCTGAGAGAGAGGAAGAGTGACTCAGCTGGTGGAATCAGGGAAGGCCGAGTGGGAGTCAGCATTTGAGCTGAACTTGGGAGGGTGAGGGCAAGATTTCAGACAATAAAAATGTGACAGTATTAAAAGGAACTTCAGAGACCTCCCCACCCCCCTGTGAGTCAGGACACAGAATTCACATGAGGCTTGGGGAGCTGAAGTCACTTGTCCAACCAAGGTCACATCAGTTGTACAGTAGCTTTTAAAAGTTCAGAGGGTTCCCCAGGGCAGGACCTTTGAGGAGCCAGTGGGTGCAGTCAGCACCATGATTCAGGCCCAGCGGTTAATGAGTAACTGGAAGGCCCTGTGGCCAGGAATCAGCTGGCAGGGCTTGGAGGCTGAACTTGAGCTTGTTTGGGAGTCTTAGCAAGTGGGTGACAAGTCGCTCCTGACAGAGAAGTTTGTTCCAGCAGTTCAGGACTGGGGGGACCATGCCGAGAGACAGGAGGGCAGAGCTGTGCTTGGGGCTGCGACCCAGGACCTGAGCTGTGACCCAGAGTGTTCAGGTGAGAGGCTCAGCCGTGAGCGGCACCCCTGCCTGCCAGCTGATGGGCTGCCAAACGGACTGACTAGTTACCTAGCTGACTTGCTTCCTAACTACCCAGTTACTCCTTTCCTTCCTAACACCCTTCGTCCTAAAACCATTTTTTTCTTCCTAACTCTTCTTCTGTCCTTTGTTTCCTTCTTTCCTAGTGTTCTTTTTTCCTAACTTCTTTCCCCCATCCCTCCCTCCTTTGCCTCCTTCCCTCTCACCTGACTCTACCTTCTCAGCTACCTAATTGTTTTCCTTTCTAACTAACCAATTTATATCCTCACTCCCTTCCCCCTCACTTCATGCCTTCCTTTTCTAAGTTTCTAACTTCTTCCCGAAATTCAGGCTTTGGAGTCACACTGCCCGGGTTCAAATCTGTTATACGATTTACTGGCCATGGGGATGGATCAGGTCACTTCCCCTCTCCAAGCCTCAGCGCCCTCCTCCTTCAAAGAGGGAAGATGATATAGTTCCTAACCCATGGCATTGTGGGACAAGCCTCAGACCCAGCCGGCACTTGGTACCTACTGTCACTGGTATGCCGTTGGTGTGCCCTGGGCAGGCGGGGGGAAACGGATCAGTCACAGTAGAGAGGAGACGAACACAAGAGCAGAAGCAGGAGCAGAGGAGGGAGCAAGAAGCCGTGAGGGCAGGGAGCTGTTTGGGTGTGGGGGTCACAGTCAAGGTGATGGGGAGCAGTGGGCATGTCAAACTTCCCACCGGGACTTAGAAGCTTTACACACTAATGGAAAAAAAAAATAACCTAACCCACTGTCATCTTGGGTCATGGCCCTCCAGACTGTTTTCTGTGGCTGTGCACAAATGTACGTGTCCACGTGTGTCTCTTTTCTCTGGACAAAGATGGTCCCTGGTACACCTACCATTCTGAACCCTGTTCCTTTCTTTCTTCTTCTTCTTCTTGTCCTTTTTTTTTTTTTTTTTTGCTTGACATTGTGGCACACAAATGTTCCTATTTCCTTTTTACATAGGCTCATGTATCGATTTTGTTTGTTGTTGGGTAATTTTCAATTTCGTATGTCCTGTCATTTATCTTATCAATTCATTCCTTGATTCATTAGTCAGAGATGTATGGAGCTCTGCCTATATTCCGGGCCCCGGTCTAGGAGCTGGGCAGTCAATAGTGAACAAGAGAAGTCTTTGCCCTTGTGGAGCTGATCTCCTTGGAGACAGAAAATACAGCCTTGCGTGAGAAGGTGTCAGAAAGCAAAACATGAAGCAGGAAAAGGGGATAGGGAATGAGCGGGGCTGGTTTCTTAGAGCCACCCACCTTCCTAGTTTGTCCAGGAAGGTACTAGTTTTAGCCCTGAAAGTCCCACATCCTGGGAAACCTGGAAGCCCCAGACAAACCGGGACGGTTGGGCGCCAGGAATCAGAACAGGCCTGCCTGAGAGGTCACAGGTGAGCAGAGACCCCAGGGAGGTCAGTGGGAGGCAGCCGTGCAGATGTCTGGGGAAGAGCAGGGTGGGCAGAGGAAGAGGAAGTGCGAGGGGCGGGAGGCCAGGGGACGCTCTGTGTTGGAGGCACAGCTGGAAAGCCGGACAGGCTGGAGCGCAGTGGGGACTGGGTGGAGCCAGGTCAGGTGGGTTCTCGTAGACGATGCCAAAGACTTTGGATTTTGATCCTTCGAGTGTTGAGAAGTCACTGGTGTTTTAAGCAACAAACTCGCGTGATCTGATTGACATTTTTTAGAGAGTTATTCTGGCTTTTGGTGGAAAGAGATTGTACTGAGTGAAGACAGAAACGGAGAATCAGTAGGGCAGCTACTGCAACAATCCACACAGGCGACGCTGGTGGCTCAGGGAGGGGGCGTCGCAGCAGTGGGTTTCTGGATGCATTTGGGAGTTAGGGCCTGGTGGGAGTTCTTGGAGGGGTGAGGGTGCCAGCTCAAACTTTCGAGTAGGTGGCAGCGCCATTACAGAGATGGAATGCAGGGGGAAATCAGAACGAGGGAGGGTTGTCTGGGAATTATCGAGTGCAATCGGCGCTCAGTGCTGTTAAACTGCTTGAGATCAACTAGGAAATGAGTGCAGACAGAGGTCCGAGGGCCTTGCCCCGGGACAGGCCAGTGTTTGAGCGTAAAAAGAGGGGGAGGATCCAGCAGAAGAGGAGGAGGAAGAGCAGTCAGGGAGTTCAGAGGAAAGCCAGGCAGGATAAGGGGGTGTGTCATGCACCCCTGAGAAGTCGAGTCAGGATGAAGAACTCATCCCTGGCTCTGGCACATGGAAGCCACTGTTCTGGTGCCATGTTGGGATGAAAGCCTCTTCGAAATGGAAAGACAGCTCTTTCGAGGGGACGAGCTGAAAAGGCGACCAGAGAAATGGACAGCATCGGGGTGGGGATGCAAGGTGGAGAGAGGGAGCTGCTTCAGCGGCGATGTGCCCACATGCCTCGTGGTGGAACGTGCAGGCTGTTATTACTGCCGCTGCTGCGTCCCTGTTCTGGGCAGTGCTGCTGCCTGAGGGGCCCATCAGGGGCTGGTTGTTGAAAAGAAATGTCCTTGCTCTGAGCGTGTGTTTTGTCAACACGACGTCCTGCCCTTCTGTGTATGAGTTCAACATTTCCGTTCTGTTGGAAGATGGTGGGCTCTGATACTGTTCACTTGGGTTTCCTGGGCTGACAGCGCCCGGCACCCTGCCCTTCAGAGCCCACAGAGAACCCCCAAGGCCGCTAGGCTCGGGTCCCTCCCTGGCCAAGCCCTGGGCCCCAGCGCCAGAGATCCCTCCGCTGTGGTGAGTTGCAGAGGTCTGGGTGTGGCACGTGGTAGCCACACAGGAAGTTCCAGAAGACCAGGGGTGGTACTCTGGCCCTGTCACTCCTGCATTCCCCAGACGACCCCTCATGAGCTCCAGGGGAGAGGAGGGACCCCGTGAGTACCCCGTGAGTCACTATCATACCGGGCAGCAGGAACTTCCGGAACCAAGTGCCGCTGGGGCCACGTTTCCTGCCTCTCCTGTAGCCGGAGAGCTGTGGGCCAACCGGCCCTCTCCTGGGGCCGGCGGGGACAGGCCCAAACGGCCAAGTACTCAGCTGTCAAAGACGAAGGCGAGCAGGACTGAGCCAGACACCTGGGCTCCAGGTTCCCCTCTAACACCTGCAGGTTCTTGGGAAGCAAAGGGCTCTCCGCTGCCGGGATTGGGGTCCTGGGGCCTCATCTTCAGTCCCAGAGGGTTTACACCAGGCCCGGGGATGCCCCAGGGGCGGGTCTTCTTCCCGACAGGCCCTTACGCGCACTCGCGCACACACACAAACTTGCCAGTATGCACCCACCAATATGAATACAGACACACAGTGACCTGCACGTGCTTACACTGTCACACACGTGTCAGTAGACACCCATACTCATCTGCAGACTCACACACGTAGATGCCCACACACAGACTCACACATACACACAAGCACATGAACACACGTAATAATACACACGGACACATCGACACACTACACAGAGGCTCCCCGGAGTACACACATATACACACTGAGAACACAAAGTCACAGAGGCACAGACACACAGAAAAATTATACAAACACTAATGCCATGACACACAGGGACAACGGAGCACAGGTAGTCACCTACATAGACTCATACACTGACACAAGCACCGAGACATACAGGGACACACAGACATGACAGACAGGCTGAAGCACATCCATGCATTAAATACCTGCACACGCACAGCCTGACCCGCACTCAAGCCCCGAGTCCCCAGGGCTTTCCTGCAGCTGTCACCCACCCCCAGGGGGAGGCGATGTCCCCGAGGGAACAGAGGTCTCCCAGCCCATCCTAAGCTCTGCCGGGTCCTGCATGACATCAACAGCCCCCCGATGCTGCCGGGAGTTTCGAGCTGGGGCCAGGCCGGCGCCAGGCACAGACACTTCAGCCCTTGTTGGGAGAACAGAGAGAGGCTCTCTTGTCCGCAACCCGTCCTCCAGCTCCAACTGCTGCTTCTCTCGGCGGCCTCTCCTCAGGCTGGTGCAGGTACATGGGGCCGGGGAGGCCAGGGCCTGGCAAAGGGGCCATCAGAGTCGGCACGGGAGAGGGCGTGGCTGCAGTGTGGGCTATCTGCAGGAGCACAGGCCAGGGGCACCAGGCTGCTGCACTCTCTAGTGGGCAGTTCCTCAGCTCGCTCTCTCAGGGCTCCACAGAGCCCGGGGACTCCCTCCCTTCCCCTGTGGTCACTTTCTCAGCTCCCCAGAAGGCCATGGGGTGGTGCTTCCAGGTGCCCCTCGTAAAGATGAGCAGTGTCTATCTAGAGAGGCTGGGCTACAGCCCGTGCCCCGCAAAGGGCCAAGGCTGTGGTCTTGAGATGCACAGTATCCAGCAGTTTACCCAAGCAACAGGGATGTCAGGTGAAATATCAGCTCTTGGCCTTGACCTTCCAAGCAGGGATGGGTGGGGCTGTGGGGCCCTGGGTACCCTGAGTCAGGGCCTAGACAGGCCAGCCTCCTCCACCCTGCAGAGTGGGGGCAGGACAGACACTGTGCTCCTGGCTGCACAGACCAGCTGATCTGTTTCATCTCAGTCTGGGGTCTCTCCATGGCATCAGCCCAAGGCCCCAAGGCAGCTGCCCTGCCAGGGGCATTAGGCAGAAGTCCCTGTGGCAGGGAGATAGCACAGAGCCCAGGCTGGGGCTGTCCCCGGGAATTCAGGGTGGTAACATGCCCAGACAGGAGCCTGGGCAGCCCAGCCTGCCCCTCATGAGCTGTGTCATCCTGGCAAGCCCCTTTCTAGGCCTCAGGCTCCCCACCTGTGAAATGGAGCGAGGGGGCAGACTTATGGTCTGCCAGGGTCCTTCCAGCCTGGCCAGCGTGGACTTCTGGAGCTGCCTGGCTCTCAGGGATCTGGCTGCTCTGACTGTCCCCAGTCCTTGCAAAAGACTTGCCTGGGAGGGGCCACCCTGACCATCCTCCCTCCTTCCCAGTGGAGGTGGTCCCATGCGAGGGTGGCTGGCCTCTGGGGCAGAAGGAGCTCAGGCGATGGCAGGTGCATGGATGGGGTTAGGGAGGGGTGGGGAGGGCAGCGGTGCCTGAAGCCCTAGACTAGACAGGTGAAGCTAACTCCCCAGCCAGCTCTCTAATGCCTGCTCCTCCTTGTGCCCCCAGCCCCCACCCTATCACTGTTGCAGAATGGACTCTGGTCCTAGCCCGGCTGGGACCCCTAGTCCACAGGTGAGTGGGTCGTGGTTCCCCTACCCACCACCAGGGGGCTCATGTCCTTACCTGGCTCAGAAAATCTACAGAAGCACCTGCCAGGGCCCGTGGGCCATCCCAGACAGGATGGTTGGGGGGGATGGGGGCGCCAACAGGGGTCACTCTAAGCTCACGGAAGTGGGCTGATTGCCAGGTAAATAGATAAGAGACTTGGGCAAAGGCTTCAAGAAGTAAATGAGGTGGAAAAGTCACAGGATTGGCCCTGAGGACACTTGGGTTCTAGTAATACCTGTGGGGCTGCCTGTAGGTCCTTGGACAGGACAGCTGTTCTCTGGGCCTCAGTTTCCTCACCTTCACAATTGGCATGACAACCAGCCGCTGCCCAAGGCTGTCGTCAGAAGCACATGGAGATGGTAGATAGCGGGGGTGGGGGGTGGGTAGAGGGGTGGGTAGAGGGGTGGGTAGAGGGGTGGAAGGAAGAAAAGGTGGAAGGAAGGAAAGAAAAAGGAAGGAAGGAAGGGGCCTAGTAGAGATGTTGGAAAACGGATCAGGGCCTGGGCCAGGGGACAGGGAGGGAGCCAAGGAGTAGGCACCTGTTGATACTAATTACCCCTTTCTGGAAATGTCTTTAGCCCTCAAGGGCCAATGGGAACATCAACCTGGGGCCTTCAGCCAACCCAAAGTAAGTTCCAGTCTTTCAAGCAACTTTCCTCCCTGGCTCCCCTAGCCTTGGGAATAAAATCCAAGTTCTCCGGTCTACCTTCAAGACCCTCTGCCCTCAGGGCCCAGGATCATCCCCCACCTTTACCCGGCACTAACTGCCCAGCCTCCGCCCACGCTGAGCCCTGGGCCTGGAGTGCCGCCCAAAGTCTGCACTGCTAGCAGATCCCCACCCTTCGGGCCCTTCTCAGGCGTTGAAGCCAGACCCTCACCTTCTGCGCAGTTGTGTCTGGTTTTCTCCCCACCGTACCTGTTAGTTACCTGATCGTGAGATCCCTAGGTGCCGGGGCCAGTCTTATAAGACCCCTCTTAGCTGAGAACACTTCAGCGGCAATGAGTTTTGGTTGCAGGAAAGTTCCTTGTATTCCCCACCTCCAAAGTGAACAAGAAGTCTGGATTTGATCTCAGGAGAAGGTTTCACAAGCTTGCAAATGCTGACCCGTGTTCTCCCCTCTTCCCCCAGTGCCCGGCCCACCGACTTCGACTTCCTCAAAGTCATTGGCAAAGGGAACTATGGGAAGGTGAGTGACATGGTGGGAGACCTGGATGTCCCCTTCTCCGGCTTCCTCCACCCCCTGCCTGTCACTTGCATGTGCAAAGAGGGAGCTTACAACCTGCAGATTCAAGGATGCAGGAACAGAGCTGGGGCCCATCAGAGGAGTGGTCACCTGCGCGGGCTTGTGTTTCTGCTTCCATTCAGGTCCTACTGGCCAAGCGCAAGTCCGACGGGATGTTCTACGCGGTGAAGGTGCTGCAGAAAAAATCCATCTTAAAGAATAAAGAGGTACCGGAGCTCAGACATAGCATTTCTTCTCCTTCTCCTCAACTCCCAGGCGAGGGTGGCTTCCCAAGATGAGTCCCAACTAGGCGGGGGTCCATGGGCTGGGTGCAGAGGGGGTCACAGCAGGGGGCCAAGTGGTGCCCAGGATACTGACCCTTCCGAAAGAAGGCAGGTCAGCCACCTCACCCACAGGCCTGTGGGAGGAGCCAGTCCAGGCCTGTGCCTTCCCCTGGGGAATCCGGGGTCCCTGGTGGACAAGCCCTCGGTCGTGTCTAGGTGTCCGCTTCCCCATCTCTGCGTCTGCACGGGGAGGGGTCACACTTCTTAACCTCTGAAGCCCTTCCAGCCACAGCCATCCTGGAGTTGCCGAGGCTTTAGCTCACTTCATACCAACCCCCTTAGGAGGAGTGAGCCGGCCCTGAGAGGGGGCTGCATATCAAATCGGAGGAGTCAGGAGAGGACAAGGGCATCTTGGGAGTGGGCAGGGGAGGTCCTCCTGAGGTGGTGGCCTTGCAGCTGGCCTTGAAGGTCTGAAACGAGGGTGCCCGGGAAGGGGAAACGGCATGAACTAAAGCATGAATGTGGCTTCATTTATTCAGTAATCACACAAGCTTTGCTCATCACCCCAGGGTTGGGTGGCAGGGGTTTCTGATCTGGGGGCTGGAGCTGCACCCATGTGGACTGGTTGGGGATGAGGCGAGCACACCAAACCCTGAATGCTAGGCAAGGACTTGGGCCTGGCAGTAAGGAGCCACAGTGGGTGTCTGAGGAGGGGCCTGGGAAGGTCCCGGGCAGGACAACCCTCAGCAGTGGGCCCTGTGGGCTGTGACATGGGCCCCTGTCCGTGTGACCCCATAGCAGAGCCACATCATGGCGGAGCGCAACGTGCTTCTGAAAAACGTGCGGCACCCGTTCCTCGTGGGCCTGCGCTACTCCTTTCAGACACCGGAGAAGCTCTACTTTGTGCTGGACTACGTCAACGGAGGAGAGGTGGGTGGACCCGCAGGGCGCTCTCCTGGGCCAGCTCTTAGCTGGGGGCTGCCCATCCCACACACTCACTGAGTACCGGGCTCTGGGATGATCGCACATTATTCATACAACAGACCCGTCCTGTAGCTGAAGAAACCGAGGTTCAGGAGCTAACTCACTTGCTCAAGTGCATGCAGCTCACACCTGGCACAGCTGGGATTGGAACGTGGTCCGTACGGACTCCCTCTGCAAAGCTGCCCGGGCTCACCTGGGAAAGAGGAGCTCTGCAGTCAAGGTTTCCAATGCCCTCGTTTTACCCCAGAGGCCGCTGGTGGGGTGACCATCACTGTGGTAAATGGAGCCCCAAGGGTGCCTGGTGACCAGGAAGCACAGCTGGATGAGCTGCGTTCCCTCTGGACTTCACTCTGGCCCTCTGGGAAAAACTTAGTGGGGTCTCCTCTCAGCAATCCCAGATTTAAGCTGTGTGACCTCATGCCTTTTAGCCTGGTGCCGAGATGGGAGTGTTTATCCTGCATCCCTAAGCCCCCTGGTGGAGGTGCAGGGCTTTCCATGTCAGGGAAACAGCCCAAGCAACTTGCCCACCGGCAGATCTAACCTGGGCTGAGTTGGACTCAGCCACAATGATAATCTTATCACCTGGGGTGGAGGAAAAACAGGTCTTTGAACCACCCAGCTTCAAATCCCAGCTCTGCCAGTTGCAGGCCCCAGGAACCTGGCAGGTCCCCTGACAACTCTGACCCCTCCCAGTTTCCTCTTAGATGAAACTGGCAGTATCTGATACCTGGAAGGTGGTCATGAGGATTAAATGAGATGAGAGACATGAAAGGTTCTGGCTTGGAGCCTGGAACACTGTAGGTGCTCAGTCCACACGTATTCACCTCTCCTGCTGACCCTTTGGTCACCCACCACTGCTGTATGGGGTGGGGGCCGGCAAGTGCTTTGTCGTCTGAGTGCATTGCAGCTCAGAGAGGGGGTGACTTGGCCAGCTGCCCCCTGCACTCTGGGACCTGGAGCCACCACCTCCCCCTCACCCCAGGAAACCCTCTCACAGGTGTCCTCTCCCTCCAGCTCTTCTTCCACCTGCAGCGGGAGCACAGGTTCCTGGAGCCCCGGGCCCGGTTCTACGCCGCCGAGGTGGCCAGCGCCATTGGCTACCTGCACTCCCTCAACATCATCTACAGGTGAGGGCTGCTTGTGTCTCCGAGCCAAGCCCAGCCTCTGCCCCAACAGCCAGGGGTTGTGGGCACTTCTGAGTCCTGATGAAATCCCAGCAAACCCAAGTTCTGAGGACAACCCTTTATCTGAGGAGAATGCCCTGGTGCAGTAGGGTGGGAGCCCTCTCCTTTCTAGGATCAAGTGCCCATCCGCCCTGGGCTTCCCTGGACACCTCTGTGAGCCCCCGTGAATACCCCTCCCACCAGGCCCCCGGGTCCCCGACTGCCCTCAGTAAGTGGCTGAGCCATCACAGCATGCCCTCCTCTTGTTTCCTGCAGGGACCTGAAACCAGAGAACATCCTCTTGGACTGTCAGGTGTGTGTATGTGTGTGTGTGCATAGTTGCACATGTGTTCTATGCACCCACAAGTGTGTGTGGATGGGCGTGCATAAAGTGTAGGAGTACATTCAAGTATGTGTGTGCCCATGTGCCCATGCATGTGTATGTGCATATAAGAATGTGCATGTACATACATATGTGTGCACATGCATGTATAGGCGGTCTATAGGGGACAGGGGTAGAGTCAGGTAGAGGCTCATGGATTCTGTATTCCCTCCATGTCTTAGACTGGGTTCCCTGGAAACAGACCCTGAGCTGAAACATTGGGTGCAGAAGATTATTGGGGAACACCCTGAAGAGGTCGACATTTAAGGGAGTGAAAAGGCAGGGATGGGCAAAGGGGGAAGCTCACCTGCATTGTGGCTGCAAGTGAGGCCTCAGCCAATCGGGGTGAGAAGGGCCCCAGCTGGAATGGCTCTTTAGAACTGTTCTTAATTGGGGCAAGTAGGCTGGGTGTTTGTGCCCCTGCATCCGTCAGTCACTGGGCAGGGACTGCCCCTTGGGAGGGCCGTAACTTTGGGTGAAGGCAGTGTCCAAGCGTGGGGAGAAGGGCATGACAACTCCTAAGGGGGAGATCTGGGTAGAGCCCTGTGGTATCCGCCCTCTCCACGACCTCCGCTAGCCTCCCACCTGCCCAGCCGCCACAAGCTGTGGCTGCTTCCTGGGTCCTTAGTGCTCTGTCAAGGGGGCTGCTGCTACCAGCCCCCTCCAGCAAGGACATTCTGGAGCTGCCACTGTTACAGGGTGTGGGTGTGGGTCTGCGATAAGCTGGGCAGACAGCGGAACACCATCCCCCACCCCACCGCCCCCTGTGCCGCTCCCAGTCTGGAAGGCCTAGTTTTTCTAGTAGAGACTCCAGCCTGTGCAGGGAGGGCATCAGGCCCCACGGTGACTGCCTTGAAGTGTGGCGCCTGGGCTTCAAGGTCAGGCCTGGCCATACCTTAATCTTGGACCACCCTCCTGTCCCATCCTCCCGTCCTCCACAGGGACACGTGGTGCTGACAGACTTTGGCCTCTGCAAGGAAGGGGTAGAGCCGGAGAAGACCACGTCCACATTCTGTGGCACCCCCGAGGTGAGCTAACCCTCCCAGGAGAAGGCAGGCTGTGAGGGGTTGAGGCCACAGGCCCTGATTGGAGGCAATGGCGTACACCAAAAAGAGCTCACCTCTCCCACCCAAGCACTTCCCCTGAGCTGCCTGTACCCCCAGCCTCGGTTCCCTCATCTGTATGATGGGGGCATCAGCTCTAGGGGCTGCTGGGACCTGGCCAGCTGCTGGTGCCTCCGCCATGGTGCTGTCCGACAGAAATGGAAATGCAAACCATACAGGTGGTTAAAATTTCCCAGCAGCCACGTTTAAAAAGTGAAAAGAAACAGGTGAAATTAATTTTAATAATGTATTTTCATTAACCCAATGTACACAAATATTGTCATTTCAACATATGATCAATATAAAATTGTCCAGATAGCTTATTCTTTTTTGTTTCCTAAGTCTTTGGAATCAGGGTGTATTTTACACTGATGGGCCACCTCAGCTCACACCAGCCAGGTTTCAAGTGTGTGGCGGCCACATGTGGATAGTGGTTGCCCTTCAGGGTGAAGTCCATGTGCAACAGGAGGGCCTAGCCTGACAATTAAGGTCAGGGCTGGCGAGTGTGCAAGACACCTTTTCTTCTGTCCTCTTCCATCCACAGAGAGCCTGGAAGGTTAACATTTATGGGTCTTGGCAGTAATTCCCACGTCTGTCTGTCCTGCCAGTGCCTCCATGCAGCCTTGGGGTTCAACCCTTTCCTCAAATTCTCACCAGTGTTGACCCTTGGACCTCTGACTGAAAGGGGTCGCCAGTTGTTTGGACAGCCGTCTGGGTGGGGTTGCGGACCAAGGCTGCAGGACTGGGGAGCTCCTCCCAACCCAGCAGGAGGCAGGGCGTGAGCTGCTCTGTGGTTCTCCCTGCTCGCGATGTCCCAGGCTTCAGATCACAGCGGGCCTCCTCGGTTTGGTGTAGGGTAGCTGACGGACGGATGGCCTTCTGCGTGGGGGCCATTGTCTGTGTTTGTGAATGGCCAGGTGTCCGCCGGACAGAGCTGGCCTGCCTAAGCCTGACAGCCCAGCCATCCCGTCCTTGGACTTGCCAAGGTCAGGGAGCAGGGTGTATGGCACCTCGGCTCATGAAGGAGACAAATGGCCCCAACGTGTCATCCCTTCCATGATCTTTCTCTCCAAGCGCCCTGTTTGCAAATGGAGAGGCTGAGTCTGTGGGTCTTTCAGATACGTCTTTCCCCCCAACAGTACCTGGCTCCAGAAGTGCTTCGCAAAGAGCCTTACGATCGGGCAGTGGACTGGTGGTGTTTGGGGGCCGTTCTGTACGAGATGCTGCATGGCCTGGTGAGTGGCGTCTGGCCATCTGCAAGGGACACCTGGCTCTGGGGGGTGGGGATGGGTCTCTCCCTTGAGTCACCTGCTCAGGCTCCTTGAGGAACTGAATGGGCCATCTCCCCACTCCAAGCTAAAAAAGATGATGCCAAAGTGAATACAAGGATTATAAGTCTTTTCTAATAATGTCAGTCCAGCACTTTATAATACACCATCTCCTGTGTTACTCCTTTGGTTCCTCAAAACGGCTTTTTGAGAGTGGCTGCAGGAAATGGAGTTGTTTTTAATCTACTGAAAGGGAAACTGAGGCCCAGAAAGGTCACAGTGCTGGTAGGTTGCACAACCAGCCCTGGACCCAACTCTAAGCTGCCTGTTTAGATGGAGGTCCATGTAGACTTGCCCCAGGCCAGGCCTCACTCTAGGGTGGCTTCAGCAACACAGCTTGGTGGACATAGGGAAGGAAGAGCTGGCAGAGCTCAGCTCAGAGCTCAGAGGTGGGAGGAAGAGCATCAGGAAAGGCGGGCTCTGGATACAGTTTGGGGCCTGGCTCTCTCCTAGGCTTTCATCTCGCTGAGCCTTGTCTTCTCTTCTGAACAATTGCAACCTGTCTCCAAGGACGGTTGTGTGGCTGGGATGAAATGATGAAGGGGAGAGTGTGAACCTTGCAAAGTGCAAAATTAGTGCACGAGGCATGTTACAAGAGGTGGGGTAGGGGATGCTCCCAGAAGGTGCACAAGTCTCACACAGGTAGAGAGAGACTCCTTGGCCTTCCCAGAAGCCCTCTCCACTGCACCAGAAGCCCAGAGGTCCCTGTCCCTCTCCAGTCTGCCATGTGAGCCAGTGTACAGGACGTGGGTCTGGCTGATCCTTCCAGCGACCCGGCTTCGCTCTAAGTCTCTCTGAGACCTGTGTCCACTTGCACACAGATGATCCTCCAGCTCTCTCCCTCTCTCACCAGCCTCCCTTCTACAGCCGAGACATAGCCCAAATGTATGAGAACATTCTGCACCAGCCACTGCAGATCCCTGGGGGCCGGACGGTGGCCGCCTGTGACCTCCTGCAAGCCCTTCTCCACAAGGACCAGAGGCAGCGGCTGGGCTCCAAAGCAGACTTTGTAGGTGACTTGCCGGGGCAGCACCGGCCCCTTCCCGCAGAGGCAGCTCAGAAGCACAGTGACACCCATCCAGCTAATGTGTTCATTTGGAAATGCACAGATGCTGCTGCTTGATTACTTCCTTCACCCTGGTGCTTTTAGTCCACCAGTATTTACTGAACACCTACTATGTGCCAGACATTGAGCTCAGTGCTAGGGATTCAGTAGACTGGGTCTCTGCCCTTATTGAGTTTATAGGGGCGGGGGTGGGGGGAAGACAATGAACAAACTTTGTATACAATTGTTACAGAGCGTGGCAAGTATCAGGAAATCAATGAACAGTGAGTGAGCTGAGACAGACACTAACGGGAGGGGATGAATTCACACTGGCATGGTCAGGGAAGTCCTCTCTGAGGAGGCGCCAAGCTGAGACTTGAAGGATGCAAAGGAGCCACTCATGCAGAGCTGGGAGGAGGCATCCAGACACTGGGCGGCATGTGCAAAAGTCCTGTGGTGGGAGAAAGGAGGAGAGCGGTATGCTTTAGGGTGTTTTGAGCAGGGGTGTGGTAAGAGCCAATTTTAAGTTGTAAGAAATTCCTCTGGCTTCTGTGCAAAGTGAACTGAACTCGCTTTTCACAAATATGTGAGTGCTTCCTCCTTGCCAGTGCCCAGGCTGGGCACTTGGGATATAGAGATGAAAAGTGCACAGTCCATTCTCTTAACAAGTGTATTATATATTTTGTATTAAAATAGCATTTAAAAAAGGATCTTCCTTTCTCTACTCAACCCAAGATCATTTGGGTTTATAAAAGGAAGACCACAGTACTCTTCTCCCTGAAGCTTGTTTTCTCTTCCAGCATCGGGGCTGAGATGCATGGACTAGGAGACAGGAGACCTGGGTTCAGATCCCCCTCCGCCACTCACACTTAACTTCTCTCTGTGAGCCTCAGTTTCCCCATCTGTAATAATAGTGCCCAGCCCAAAGCTGCTATAAAAATCAAATGGATTAAGATGTGCAAGGCACTTAGGCACAATGCCTGAAACATAGTAAGTGCTTTTTAAGTGTTCGTACCAACAGCCCTACATGTCAGATGCTGTGAAGTATAACAATGTTTAGGGCATTTGTCTACCCATCCCTGGCCAGCTTAAGGAATGAGGTTTTCAGGATGACTGGTGCACTCCTTCCAGTTTGCATCTTAAAAAATATGTATGATTTTGTCTGGCCTGTGTGGCTCAGTTGGTTGGTCATCCCATACACTGAAAGGGCACTGGTTTGGTTCCCGGTCAGGGCACATATCTAGGTTGTGGGTTCGATCCCTGGTCAGGGTGCATATGGTAGGCAACTGATCAATGTATCACATCGATGTTTCTCTCTCCCCCTCCGCCCTCTAAAAGCAGTGAGAAAATGTCCTTGGGTGCAACCAGTGTTACTAGTTTTGGGAGATCTGGGATATTTTGGGTCTGGCTTTTTAAGGAGCCCAGAAGGTGGTATTCTGATACAGGTGGTTGGAGAATCATTCTTTGAGAAACAGGAGAAAGTCCTGCTGGGACAGGAGAAAGTCGGTGCTGACATTGGTTTGGAGTAGGAAAGAAATGGTGAAACTCGCCCAGGGCTGAGTCCTAGATTCTGGGTCTCTGAGAGCCTACAGCTTTTCTTGGGGCTTTTTCCTTCCTAAACCTTCCAGAGTGAGTTGCTCCATCCATTTCTCTGGTTTGCATTCTGGAAGAGTGTAAATCCACTAAGGCAGAGTGGGGCGGGGTTGTGAAGATCTCCCAGGGCACCCTAGTGCAGCGATGTACCTCCAAAGCCTACTGGGGTCTGGCACAGAGTAGGTGTTCACTAAACAGATACGGAATAAACAAATGCCATGGGGGAAAGGGTCTGGGTTCCTGATGATGGCAAAGGGGAGAGGACTGGTTGCAGAGCTGTCGTCCCAGGAAACCAGGCTGAGGTGCAAGTTACATTCTCAGTAAAGGTTTTCGGACTTGACAGTCAGCTGCCAGCCGAGTTGGAGCTTGGGACGGAGTCAGAGGGGCATGGGAGTGTCTATGGGGAGGGCTGCTCCTGATCAGCACCTTCTTCCTGCAGCTCGAGATAAAGAACCACGTATTCTTCAGCCCCATAAACTGGGATGACTTGTACCACAAGAGGCTGACACCACCCTTCAACCCAAATGTGGTAAGAGGTCACCGCAGTCCAGATTCTGGGTTACCAGGACTGGTGGGAGTCTGCAGGGCATCTGGGCCAACTCTCTGCAGGAGGAAAAAACCTGGGTCCAAGGGGCTCCATGCTTTGTCCAAGGTCACATGGAAAGTTAGAGGCAGAACTGGTGTAGAACTGGGAGTCCTGACTGCCAGCTGAGCTCTGTGTGACGGGCCAGGCCTCCACTTCTTCATGTTTAGCACCGGTGACTCTCACTGCACAGCCCTCTATGGGTTTTACAGTGCTCTGTGTCACACAGCGCCCCCGGCTGGAGCCGAGCCCCGTGAAGACATTTCCCCCCTATAGTTAGCTTTTTTCCTGAGAAGAAAAATGGCATGTATTCATTGTAGAGAGTATGTAAAACAGAGAAAGTTAAAGCAGCAGGGGGAAAAAGCTTATTATCTCATTACCCCAGAGAAACCACGGCTGACGTGTCTCCTGTCAGTCATTCCTGTGTGTGTTTTACCTAGGTTATATTTTATATATAGATACTTTTCTCCATCCCCCCCTTTTTTAGGGGGGGCTAAAAACTAGGTCATTATTATTGTTTTCTAAAGATTTTATTGCACTGGCTGGTGTGGTTCAATGCATTGAATGCTGGCCTGTGAACCAAAGGGTCACAGATTCGATTCCCAGTCAGAGCACACGCTGGGTTGTGGGCCAGGTCCTGGGTGGGAGGCATGTTAAGAGGCAACCACGCATTAATGTTTCTCTCCCTCTCTTTCTCCATCCTTTCCCCTGTCTAAAAATAAATAAATAAATAAATAACATCTTTTAAAAAAAAGGGAGGGAGAAAGAGAGGGAGAGAAACATCAATGTGCGAGAGAAGCATGGATCAGTTGCCCCTCGCACGCCCCCAACCACAGACCTGTCCCACAACCCAGGCATGTGCCCAGATTGGGTATTGAATCACTGACATTTTAGTTCACAGGCCCACTGAGCCACAACAGCCAGGTCCTATGTCATTATTTCTGCAAGTAACATAAAACTTTATAAGGATCATTTTAAGTGGCTCATACTATGTCAACCCTATGTTGGTGACATAATGTTTTCAACCCCGCTCCTAATGGTGAACTTTAGATTATTATCATTCTTTATTTATCATAAAGTACTGATGAACATCTTTAAGTGTCTATCTTTGCCCAGAGTTCTGATTATTTCCTTGGGATGGACTGCAGGTGGGGAATGACCAGGTCAAAGAATGTGAATGTTTCTCGATTCCTGAGTCATGCTGCCCTCACTATGTGTTGGGGAGTACCGCCTGTCTCTGACCGGCGGAGTCTGCTGGAGAATTCTTACTCTCTGCAGCGTGTGCATCGTTTTTAACTTCGCAAACTTAAGTAAAAAAAAATACCACCTAGTATTGCTTTAATTTATTTGATTACAAATCTTTGATTTGTTTGATTTGTTTCTTCGATTTACAGTGAAGACACTTAGTTTTTACATGTTAATTAGCAGTGCTAGTATGAACAGAAGGACCCCCATTTCCGGTGGACACTGGAGACTCTCCTGGCCACCTCTAACCATCGAGCAATGTCAAGTCCCCTTCATCGAGCAGTCTGCACACCTCAGCGCCGCCAGCGTTACTATTCACATCTCCCCTTAGGTGATTCACCTGTTTGTGGACATGTCTTTGAGCTCCAGGTTCTTGACATCAGCTGTCAGATAGGACACGTTCAGTCCTGGCACCTGAAAAGTGTCTCTATCTGAGGATTTTAAAAAAGACTTTGAGGGTTATATTGAATGTACACCTTGGAGAGAGAATAATATACAAAATACTAGACAGGGTGGTAATAAAATGCAACGCATGAACTTCAGAGTGAGACATAGTGGGACAAGGTTCCTGTTCTGTCGGCTACCACTTGTGAGACCTTGAAGAAGTTTCTTTAGCATCAGTCTCTTCATTTGTAAAAAGCAGAAAAGACTTGCCTTGTCTAGGGCCATACATCAGAAAAAGGGCGAGGGCCAAGGTTCACATTCTGATCTTGGAACTCTGTGTCCTGGGCTAGTGCCACTATATCCTGTGGCCTTTTGGAGAAGCTAGAAGCCAAGGCCTCTTCAGTTGCACAGGCTGAGGCTTGCACACTAGAGCAGGTTTGGAGAACTTTCCACTTGCTCACCCGCTTGCTGCATAAAACCCACCTGTCTCAGTCTTCTCCACAGACAGTGCCTCCTCCACAGGGAGGCTGTATTGGCTAGCTCTTGCTGCATAACAAGCCACCCCCTAACTAGGCAGCTTAAAACAATTCGTTACTTCCTTCTGCTTCTATGGGTTATTTGGGAGGTTTTTTTGGCCCAGGCCAGGCCTGCTGTCTCTGCTGGGCTCTCACATGTTAGCGGTCAGCTAGCAGGTCAGCTGGCAGTCAATGATCTAGAATTGCCTCACTCACGTGCTTGGCAGCTGGGGCAGCTGGGGCAGCTGGGGCAGCTGGGTCCTTATTCATGAGTCCTCTCAGACTCCAGCAGAATGGACTGGGCTTGTTTACATGGTGGCCTTAGGGTTCCAAGTGCAGCAAGAGAGAACTCCCAGTGTGTGTTTTTCAAGCCTCTGTTTGCATCACATTTGGTAATGTCTCATTGGCCCAAGCAAGTCACACGGCTAACTCCTATTAAAGGATGTAGGAAGAGGCTCCATCTCCTGATAGGAATGGAGAATTTGTGACCATTTTTTTGCAATCTCCCTCACAGGTCTTATGCAAAATAGCTAAAGTGATCTAGTCACTCTTTACCATATTGCCCTATTTTATATTTTGTATGAGGCCTATCAGTACCCTAAATTATTTATGTACATGTTTATTATCAATCCTCCTATCCCTTGCATAATATAAGCTTCATGAAAGCAAGGGCCCACTCCATTTTGCTCTCCTGTATTCCCAGGACCATGAACAGTGCCTGGAAGGCATTCAGTAAGTATATGTTGACAAGGCTTGTCTTAGGGTTATTGTGGAGCAGGCATGAGCTGATATGTGGTTATTGGATCTCGTGGGATAAAACAATGTAAACTCATGGGTGAGTGACAATTAAGGAAGGGCACCCAGAAAGTGCTCAGAGGAAAGGCCCAGCATCCCTCTCAGGGCTTGTGAATTCCTTTGGCAGTTCTGACGCCCGTGATCCCTCCTCATTGTTGGCTTGTATCCACAGGCAGGACCTGCTGACTTGAAACACTTTGACCCAGAGTTCACTCAGGAAGCCGTGTCAAAGTCCATTGGCTGCACTCCCGACACTGTGGCCAGCAGCTCTGGGGCCTCGAGTGCATTCCTGGGATTTTCCTATGCGCCAGAGGATGACACCACCTTGGACTGTTAAGACAGAAGTCCCTGTGACATCTCTGAAGTCAGCTGGATCTGTAAGGAATCACCTTCAGCTGCTAGGAGCAGAGACTCAAAGAAACAATCTTATTTAAATAAGATTTTGTTTCCCCAGCACATAAAGAATTGTGTTAGGTGGCCCAGGGCTGGCACCACAGGTCATCAGATACTCAGGGGCTTCCTATATTTTGCTCTGCCATCCTTGGCAGATGGCCACAATATTAGTTGCGACATTATTATAGGGTAGTTACTGGAGCTCTAGCCATTGCTTTTGAGTTCTGGACAGGAGAAGAAAGGAGGAAGGAAGGAAGAGCAAAAGGACACTTTTATAGTTTCCCAGAAGCCCCACCCACTGACTCTGCTCATTAGCCACCATGCCTACCTGTAATGGAGGCTGGGAAATGGGACTTATTAGCTGGCACAGTATTACCCCTAATAAACAGGCGTTCTGACACTGAGGGAGGAGGAGGAGGAAAATGTTGGGAAGGCAACCAGCAGGGCTTCTTGGCGTTTAGATTTTTATCTCAAAGTGTGCAATGACAGATGTGACAAGCCTATAGGGTAGCACCCAACATCCTCTCTTATTTTCCTACGTTGATGGTATTTCCCTTTGTTGCGGGTAGTGGTAGACATTTGTTATTACATCTGTCTGCCTGGCATCTGAGCTCCTCCCTCTATTCAGGGTATCTCCTACTTCCTGAGTCTGGCTGAGGGACCATGACTACCTCCACTGAGAGTAGCTGAAATTCTAGACAGTTACTTTCCCAGCCTCCTCTTGCAGCCGGGGCCAGGCATGTGACCCAGGGATGCAGCTGTGCCAGATTTTCACTCAAAGAAGGGACTGGGAGCTCCCTTTCATGTGGTAGCTGTGGTGACGGTACCCACAAAACCGAGTTCCTGGTATAGAGTGGCAACGATGTAAATTGTGGCAATTGGGACTCTGCAGCAGCCGCCGCTGCTGCAGGAGCAGCGGTTTCTGCGTGTCAGTGCTGTGGTGGCATTCCCCTCACTCTTGGGAAGCCCTGAGCCTCGTCCTCCAGCTTCGAGAGCTTCTGACCCTTTTAACAACCCCCACCCACCTTTTGGCTTAATCGTCCAGTCTGCTTCAGAAAACCAGCCTGTGCTGAGGCAGTTTCTGTGCTGGACTCTTTCAAGTCTATTATCAGTTTTTATCCAAACAACCCTAAAGGAGGAAATATAACAGACCCTTTTTACCAATGAAGTAACAGGGTCAGAGAAGTTGTTCCTTGCCTAGTCCCATAGCTAGTAGGGGCCAGAGCGGGGACTCAGAGCCCTATAGGCTGAGTTCAGGGCTCTCACTTGTGACCTCTGTGCTCATCTGCCAACAGAATGGCTGTCAAAATCAGTAATGAGAACCAAGTCAGGAGCTGATCAGAATAAAGTAAGTGGTGGGAAATGGGGTGTGGAAGAGGAGACATTCAACTTGCTCAGGGTCTGGGCCTGGCTGTCAAGTTCACGGTGTGCTCCTCCTCACCTGCCCCGTATGTTTGGCAAGTCTAAGGCCAGGAGCCTAGGCCTTGGACAGGGCTCGGGGCTGGTGCCAGCTTGGTGGCCACAGCTTCCCAGCCACCTGTGGAGCTCCATGTGCTCATAAATTATTTCTCAAGGTAATTCTGGACAGAACAGAAGCACATAACCTCATGAATTCAGAGGAACCTCAGAATTAATGAATTCTGCACTTACTGGTAGGGATGGGTCCTGCAGCTTTATTTCGGTGGAAAACAGCTTCTTTTTCACAAACCTGTGGTTCATTATCTACTTACTTGCTTTTTGGTTTGTTCATAAGAGGAATTTCCTTAACATCAGTGTGTGCTGTGGTTTCTATTGCCTTTTCTTAACTCAGTCCTTTCCTCCCTTCCATTTTTCCAGGGCAGCCTTCTCCCCACCCTGTCCCAGGAATTATAGGGGGATGAAGCTGAAGACCGTGGAGAACACGCCAGTGACACAGACAGTGGAGACCAAAGCTGGGTCGGGAAGAGCTGTTGTTACCCTTGGACGTGCACTGAGAACTCTGAAACACTCTGATTTGATTTCTGTCTCCATTTGTCTGTTGATTGACAAATGTAGAACATGTGGGAGGGGCCAAAATTCCCCCAACTTCCCAAAGCAAAAAACAAGAGACTGTAATTGTCCAAAATGTACTAGTACTGTCCAAAGTACACGATCTGCTGTAGACTGTGAAACACATAATGATTCTCTTTGTTCCGAGACTGTAAGATCATAGAATTTTCACCAGGATAGAAAATAAAAATGAAGAAAAACTATGACATAGAATTGATCATGCTACGCCTATGTTTATTGAGCATGTTCCGAGTATTACGTACATTATCTACACACCTCACAGTGAGCCAGCATTTAAAAATTATTAACCTCCTTTATAGATAAGAAACATTTGCTCAGAGAGATTAAGCAACTTGCCCAGGGTCACCCAGCTGGTATAAGGTACAGCCAGGAACTGAACTTGGTGGGGGCTGATTCAAAGACCCTTGCTTTTTTCTCCAACCCCCAACGGTGGGAGAAGTGCTCTGGATAGGTACTCTTGCAATCTTCTAGCACTCACTCACTCCACACGGAGCAGAAGGATCCCAAGACCTGTGCCAACTCACAAGTGATATAGCCTACTCTCTCTACAGTGGAAGCACACCACTTCCATTTTTATACCTTGCTGAAGACCGTGTATCTACCCAATTTTGCACCAAAATACAGCATCCCTAGGAAGAGGGTTCTCAATTGCCCTCCTCCACTGTTTAACTCCACAATGACAGTAATTGTGAAAAGGCAACAAGCGCTGTGTATTTAAGATCCCCTAACTCCTACCTCTTTATACATGTTGAAGATTCTAACAAACATAAATTGAAATCCAAACTGTCCGAAAGCTCTGCTCTCATCGAGTTGAGCCAGCGAGGTCGTGGCATTGCATCAAAGTCCACACGCTCAGGACGCCGAGCGCTCCCCGGGGGAGAAAGGAAGACTTTTATCCGCGCCTCGTTTCTCATTCTCAAGGCGATGTTTCTTTCACATCAGCAGCGCCTCCCGCCGGCTTGCTCTTTGCAACCCTTGCCTTAATGAATGCTACTTTTCTTTCACATCTCTGCTCATCGCAGGCGCCTTTCTGCCCAGCTCCAGCCCTCACAGCTCCTTAAGGCAGTTTATATTTACACTTTTTTTGTAGGATGTGGCCAGGTCTAACTCCCCGCCTGGGGGCACCTCTAGAGGGCGAGTTCACCGCTACATCATGGGCCTGGAACTGTGCTGTTCAGAGATGCGGGACTAATCAAAGTGAAAGAACTAGCTCGTGTTACCCATCTCACCACTAAACCTGCCCACTCTCCTCCGGGAAACCGATCCTGATGTCCCAGGGAGCGGAAACTCTTGCATCACTGTTCAAATCTTTTTAAGCAGTTCCTGGCGGTCAAACCCTTCTTCAGCGTCTCCACTACAAAGCTCCGCCCCTTGCCTCTTTGCGCCTGCGCCCTTGGGGTCGGGACTGGGGCGTTCCTCAACAACCCCTCTAGCAGCGGCGCAAGCCTTCACCCTCGGGGTCTAGCGAAGTTTAGGCCCTTGGGACCTACCATTTTTATTAGTATTTATAATACTTGATATTAAAGACACAACTAAATGATTTCATATTTGGCATAAATTCACGTTCTCTTTGGATTTAGCCCTCATCCAAAATAATGGTACAGTCCCACGTTAGCTCCGCCCCCTGCCACCACCATCCCGGCGCTCGAGGCTCATTGGCGCCCTCCGCTCTTTCGTCATCAGGTGGCTCCGGCGGTACAACCACTCCCGGGTTCACGCCTTTCGAGTATGCCGCTCGGCCTCCGCGGTTGCTAAGCGGCCTTGGATACCAGGCTGCGGGATGCTGGGCGGTGTCAGGTGAAGATGGTGGTTACTGGACCTCAGGTAAGAAGAGCTGCAAGTGTGAGGGGCTGGCCGGGGCGCTAGGGCCGCCTGGCGCTGGCGAGGATCTCGCTGGACTGTGCTAGGATCCTTTGGGCCGGTCTTCGGAAAATAGAGATCGTCTTGGGTAAACTGGACACGGATAGAGGCCTGAATCCAGATCCTGGACTGGGTTCGAGTCTCCTTCGCCTCCTGCTATGCGGATTTTCAGTGGTCCTGCTGGGTATGAAAGAGCATTGGGCAAAGACTCTTAACATCTTATTCTCATCCCCTTTTCCTAGAAATACTGCTCTTTGGAATCTGTTCTAGGGTAAAAATAATGGCAAAAGCAGGAATATGTAAATTCCACTTGTATCTGTGAAGGCACAGAATTGAAGATGGCCATGAAGGTAGTGGTTCTGTTGATTATGACATAACCATGCGACAGATTTTGAAGACTTTTCCTGTAGGGAACTGGAGAAAGCAGAATACAATATTGTATATGCACACTGAAAACACGCACAGGGATGAGGTGAAACATGGAAAGATAGCTGTGGTGGGTTCATGGGGGCATTTTTTTGGTAACCTGACAAAATGATTTTAAAGCTAAACTGCGAAAATCAATATGTGAGACTAGCTAAGAATGCCTAAAAATTAAGAATAATAAGGGGGATTAGCTCTTCAATATCAGGAATTATAACATGTTGTAAAGTGATAGTAATTAAAATAGTATGGAACTGAGCAGAAACTACAGTCGGATAGAACATGTCATATTCAGAATGAAATTCAGATGTTTGTAGGTGATGTTGTAAATCAGCATTGAAAAGTTGGATTGGTGTCAGACAGCTTTCTAATAAAAAACAATAAATTCATTTTGGGCACCAACATAAACTCCAAATGGACCAAAATTTAAAAAAAAATGACATAAAAATACAGGAGGATTATGTGCTATTCAAGTAGTTGAAGGTTAATTAGCAGTATAACTAAGTAGTAATGCTGCCAGTCCCCTTCAGACAAATAGTAAAAAATTTTTTAAAAATACAGGAGGAAAACATCATTGGGTGTATTTATAATCTTAGCATGGCAAAAATTCTTCAAAATACATCATGCAGTCCAGAAGCCAGAAAGGAAAAGATTAAAACTTTTGACTCTATAAAATTAAAACCTTCTATATGACCTGCAAAATTTCACCAAACCAAACCAAAAAAAACTCCCATAAGCTATATCTAATGACAAATAAATTTTTGAAAGTATTTGTTGAATGATGGATTTGAAAAATATTAAACCCAATAGAAAAGTAAGGAGAGGGCATGAACAAGAAAATCAGAAGAAATACAAGTGGCCAGTATACATAGTGAAAGGTAGCCATCTCACTGTTAGAAAGTGCTACCTAAATAATAATGGGGGGGGGGTGCCTATCTTATTAGAAGAGATGAAAGTGATTAGAAACAGGATTGTATTAGTATGAGTGGAAGTGAAAATTACAAATGTTTGGAGGGCAATATGGAAATAATTTAGTCATTCAACAGATAGGAATTTATTCTGCAAATATGGAAAGTACACAAAAACATGCTCAGCCCTGGTTGGTGTAGCTCAGTGGATTGAGCGCAGGCTGCACATACCAAAGGGTTGCTGGTTCAATTCCCAGTCAGGACACAGGCCTGGGTTGCGGGCCAGGTCCCCAGTGGGGGTCACGTGAGAGGCAACCACACATTGATGTTTCTTTCCCTCTCTTTCTCCCTCCCTTACCCTGTCTTGAAAAAAATAAATACATAAAACCTTTTTTTTAAAAAAATGATGCTCAAGGATGGTTGATATTTGCAGCATTGTTTTACTAGGAAAAATTTTTGAAAGAAAAAGATGTCAATCTGTATATAACTAGCTAAATTAATAACAATACATCCATAAAATGGAATACCGTGCAGCAGTTTTAAAAAAACAACACCTATGTGCCAACACGGAAAGATGTGAAAGATACAGGGTTAGGTGAAAAAAGTGTGTTGGAAAATACTGCATATGATACGATCCTATTTTGTAAATAAATCTACTAGTTAATGTATGTATAAAAAGAATCTAGAAGACCACACGTCCCAGTTAACAGTAGTGAGCAGTGAGGAGGGGTCATGGCCTCCCTCAGGGGCAGGGTGATGGCGTGGCAGGGCCGTGGGACTAGGCTGGTCACCAGCGTTGGCCTTAGGTTTCTGCAGCTGTGATTATGTATTGCACTCTCAACCTGTGAGAACTGCAGAGGTTTCATAGCTAGGTTGCAGCTTTATACCCTTTCTCATCAAATTAGAAGAAGTAGACTATTTTATTCCTTTTGGGGTGTTTTGGAATATTTTTTATTGTTTGTCTTTTTCTGATGCCTTCTTTTTTCCATAGGTAACCATGGAGAAAGAGGTTCGGAGCACCATTCTTTTCAATGCATACAAAAAGGAAGTCTTTACCACCACCAGTGGCTATAAATCCATGCAGAAGAGACTTCGGAGCAACTGGAAAATTCAGAGGTGACCTTGTGAATTGTTTTCCCTTCCAGATAATAGCCTGCCCATTAGACTGAAAGTCTTTACTTTCTTATGTGAGACAGATTGTTTAGGTGGGAGGAGCTCAATACAAAGATCATTCAGAAGTAAATACATTATTAAAGCATCTCTTTTGAAAACTGTCACTTAGCATATTATTAAGTTGTCCCCAAAGTCACAAATAAAAAGTTATTCTAATTATACATATACAACTTTTTAAGAGGTTAGAGGCTTTTTCCATATTTCAACTTAGGTTGATAGTACAATTTAGAGAAAGGAAAAATGAGAATATTTCTCCGTTTTTGTAGATGTGTAATTTTTCTTAGTGGGGAAGGATATGTAATCATACAAGTTAGCAGTAGAGCTGATTGCATTAGTAGTCGGAGGAGTCTTTATGCTCTAGCACAGTTTAATTTGGCTTATGAGGAAGTATTTGGGCGGAGGCCAGCAACTCGGGTGCAAGCCCATAGAGGGGATTCTCACTTTGGGAGAGGGGCTCGACTGGGTACCTCTAAATACTCTCATCTCTGGGCCTCTTTTCCCATTCAGCCTAGAGACTAATATGGCTCATAAATTGGTTTAATTATGGATCTAACATTTGCTTTTAAAATCATATTTGTAGCTTAAAAGATGAAATTACATCTGAGAAGTTAATTGGAGTGAAACTGTGGATTACATCTGGGCCGAGGGAAAAATTCACTGCAGCTGAGGTAAGAAATATCCACAGAGAACTATAATGAGATGGTTAAGAGCATGGGCTCTGAAGTCCTGGGCTTAAATCCTTATTGCTCACTTACCATGGTGCCATAAGGTCATGACTTCATCTCTCTCTCGATCGTTGAATTGTTGAGATGATTAAATGAGATAATG